TGTTCAAACCCTTGAGAAGTAATGCCGCATCTGGCACCACCGCTCCTATCTCCACTGTTCGTGTTTTCCACCTCAGCCACTTCCTCAATGCTGCTGGTGCTTCACCCAACTGGGATACTTCCGGTGGCTCCTCCAAGTTGCGCAAGAGCATCTGTTTCTCCATGACTCCCCCAGGACAGTAGGTGAGGAAGAGGTGTGTGAGGATGCTGAACACTCCAACTTTTCGTCCAGCCACCAATTCATCCCGCACCCCTTCTGGTACTGCCTGAAGAAGCATAGTTGACATCCTCCTTTGCAGTCTTTGCCACCGATCTTGAACCAGCTGAGGAGGAGGCTTGACTTCATGAGAGATTCGATCCAAAGGGTTCATTGACATATGCTGCTGATACCAAGTCTCAACTGCCTTGGTCATTTCGCCCCACCATTCTTGGCTTGTGGTGGACATGTCAGCAGCAACTGGTTCGATCATCAACAACCAATCTCCTAGTTGTAGAGGTCCTTGTGCTGGATTGCATTGTTGAAGGGCTGGCAACTCCATGACACCAGTCCGAACCACTTCCACACCTCGGACCATTCCAGCCTCCTCTCGTGGCTCCAGCATCTTCTTTTGCATTTCCTTCATCGACTCCATCATCAGCGCCATGAAGCCAAGCGATCGCTCTGCAAAGCTTTCACTACTGCTTGACTCCTTCTGTCCTGTTCCTTCTTGGCCAGAATGACGCTGTTCTTCACTTCCAAACCTCCATGGAAACATGACCGCTTCACTTTCGGGGTCTGCAGCCTCCTTGGAAAAGCTTCGGGCTTCTCTTTGGTGGTCTCCGGCCTCCTTATAAGAGCTTCGGGCTTCCCTTTGGGGGTCTGCAGCCTGACTTCGGGGAAACATCTCAGCCTCCTTTTGGGGGTCTGCAGCCTGACTTCGGGGGGGTATCTCAGCCTCCTTTTGGGGGTCTCCAGCCTGCTTCAACTTTCGCGGATCCTCTTCTGGTGTCGAAAACTTCGGATCAGCTTCTTTCTGCTTCTCCTGAGCTTCCAACTTTTGCATCAGCCTACGATTCTCCTCAAACAGGAATTTCATGGACTGTCTCATTTCTTCTCTTTCTAGTTGATCTTGCATCAAACGCTCTTTCAACCTCTCCATTTCTTGATCTCTGTTCTCAGATGCTTCTCTAGCTCTGAGCTCCTCTTGTTCTAAAAACTGTGGACGCTGCAAAAATGGAGAAAATGCTGATCGAGGTTGTGTGTACAGCCATGGTGCTTGCGAAAACAATCCAGTGAAATGTTGAACCTGTTCAGGAGTGAAGAGTGGCTCAACTAACGACCCTACACTTCTATCTCTGTCCCCCTCCACTGCAGTTCCCAAACGCTCGCTCGGTGACACTTTCTGCTGGGAGCCACCTGCACTTTCCTTAGATCTGTCCTTGGTGTCTGCAGGGGTCTTGATGCCTGCTGACGCTTGATCCTCCGATGGAACTTCTGGCGGATCCACTGGAGGCATTGTCGGTGGACGGACTGTTGACCCGGAAACTGGATGGGCACCGGATGGACTAGCTTTGGGGGTTCCTTGAGAATTCTCCAAACTACCATCTTCTACTGGTGGTGCACTTACACCTTCAGCTCCCTGACCCCTTCCACCTCCTACACTTTGTTGATCCTCAAGCGGAAGTTCACCTCTAACCTCTGCCTCTCTTTGCATGCGTTCTTGCGCTTGTTGCATCTCAGCCTCACCTTGGTTCAACTCTTCTCTAGTTGCTTTTCTCCTCCTTTGCATGTTTGCCATGTCTTTGCCCAATTCAAGCCGTTGGGCTCATAACCTACTGAGCTACTGACGTTGTCAGGTAGGCTCGGCTATGTAGAAATGGATAGACTTGTTACTCTTCTCTATTTGTGCCCTTCCAGCTCCTCCCACAGCACGAACCTTCGGCTTTTATGCCAAGTTGCGTTCTTGAGTCTCAAAGGGGCAGCTATGGACAGCTGCATGAATGGATATGCAAATTGGTGCAAATTGAAAGTTGACATGTCAATGCATCATGCTTATGACAAGTCATGAAAAGCAATGGGTGACATCAGCAGGATCAAACCCAACCGAACTGAGGCGATTCATCACAGGAGCGAACTGTGTTGGAGTTGAAAGAAGAAGCCGAGCGCCTTGGCACAGAGATGAACTCCGGGATGACTGCCACAGGGGAACAGCTCAGTTGACGTCGGCAACAGATGGCAACAGCAGTTCGGTTCTGACAACGACAGTTGTGCAGGTTGGGTGCAGGTTGCAGGTTTTAGGGATCATAATTTGAGAGGAGCATTTTGAATGGAGTATTTGTCAGGCACTCTTCAAATCACAATCTTGAAACGAAACTTAGACCTCCAAATCATGGAAGACCTCATGCAAAGTAGCAAGCGCCACTACAGTTGGTACACGCTTGGTACCCGTCTTTGCCACAATGAGTCATCTCATCTAGATTCCGAAGTCAAGATCTGAAACTCTGCCTCTTTATATCTTTTCACGGTTTGTTTCTGTATGATGCGCTCAGAGCTAAATTGGTGATTTGGTTCCAGGCACCTGTGACGTGCATCGCTTCGCTGATGCTGGGGGGCATTTCGGGGTTCACCTGACTGCAGCCTGTTGATCCCTGCTGCACACCCTGTCCTGTGGATCCGAGGAAAAAACTCGGCGTCGAGATTAAACATCTCATTGGACAAAACCACGAGCCATTGCTACTTGGGTGCACAGAACTTTTTTGACCCTTCTGCCCAGCTGATGGAAATTGATACCCCCAAAAATTCCCACTCCATTGTCATGACCCCCGGGGGTTCGCCAAAACCATTTTTTTGGACAGCCTAAGTGCCTGCAAGGATATGCTCAATGCAGGTTCCTGATTTTGGAGAGGGGACCTTTTGTAGCTGGCTGAAACTGTAGGTTCCTGATTCTGTCGGGGTTTTGGGGTTTGTCAACATTCAAATATACACATTATATTGATTTTGCAGGTTTCCCATTTTGTAGAGAAAAATGGTGGAACATGTGTTTTCGACTTGCTTGAGGGCTTTCTTTATTCGAAGTAGCAATTCTGCTTAAATGTTTGCTCATGCCAGGTTCCCCACTCTGTAGGGGCCAGTGTTTCTGAAAATCATAAGAGTGCACCAAAAAACAGGGGGTTGGGTACCCTGATTTTGTAGAGAAGATGCCTTGCTACATTTGTGGCAGGTTCCTCATTCTGTAGAGGTCTAGGGCCCCAAAAGTCAGGTTTGGCTCGACCCAACCCCCCCTCAGGTCATTTTTTGGGGGATCAGATTATATTGATTTTACAAAATCTGGAAATGTGGAACAGGAATTGCCTCTACAAAATGGATTTTTGTACACTTCAGGGTTTTCAGGTGAGACGGGGAGACCAAGGTTCTTTCACATCATCCCTCTACAAAATTGATCTTTGTATTTTTGACGGTTTTCTTTCTTCCAAGTAGCAATTCTGCTTAAATGTTTGCTCATGCCAGGTTCCCCACTCTGTAGGGGCCAGTGTTTCTGAAAATCATAAGAGTGCACCAAAAAACAGGGGGTTGGGTGCCCTGATTTTGTAGAGAAAACCCCTAGATTTGTGGCAGGTTCCTCATTCTGTAGAGGTCCGTCAAGCCATTTTTTTGACAGCCTAAGTGCCTGCAAGGGTGTGCAAGGACAGGTTCCTGATTTTGTAGTGGGAGCATTTTGATGCATGTTGTAGATGGCTGAAACTGTAGGTTCCTCATTCTGTAGAGGTTTTGGGGTTTGTCAACATTCATGTGCATAAATATACGTATACAAATTATATTGATTTTACAAAATCTGGAAATGTGGAACAGGAATTGCCTCTACAAAATGGATTTTTGTACATTTCAGGGTTTTCAGGTGAGACGGGGAGACCAAGGTTCTTTCACATCATCCCTCTACAAAATGGACCTTTGTATTTTTGACGGTTTTCTTTCTTCCAAGTAGCAATTCTGCTTAAATGTTTGCTCATGCCAGGTTCCCCACTCTGTAGGGGCCAGTGTTTCTGAAAATCATAAGAGTGCACCAAAAAACAGGGGGTTGGGTGCCCTGATTTTGTAGAGAAAACCCCTAGATTTGTGGCAAGTTCCTCATTCTGTAGAGGTCCGTCAAGCAATTTTTTTGACAGCCTAAATGCCTGCAAGGGTGTGCAAGGACAGGTTCCTGATTTTGTAGTGGGAGCATTTTGATGCATGTTGTAGATGGCTGAAACTGTAGGTTCCTCATTCTGTAGAGGTTTTGGGGTTTGTCAACATTCATGAGCATAAATATTGACAAATTATATTGATTTTACAAAATCTGGAATGTGGAACAGAAATTGCCTCTACAAAATGGATTTTTGTACATTTCAAAGTTTTCAGGTGAGACGGGGAGACCAAGGTTTTTTCACATCAACAAAAAATTACCTTTGTATTTTTGACGGTTTTCTTTCTTCCAAGTAGCAATTCTGCTTAAATGTTTGCTCATGCCAGGCTTCCCATTTTGTAGAGGCCAGTGGTTGTGAAAATCACAAACGTGCACCAAAAAAAAGGGGTTGGGCACCCTGATTTTGTAGAGAAAACCCCTTGCTAGATTTGTGGCAGGTTCCTCATTCTGTAGAGGTCTGGGGCCCCAAAAGTCAGGTTTGGCTCTACAAAATGGGGACACCCAACCCCCCCAGGTCATTTTTTGGGGGTATGGAAATTGTATAATCCTGTCTTACGTGGGAAACAATCTTGTTGGGTATTGGTGGTAGGCCTCTTCATATCATTGGCTTGTTTTTACATGTTTTTACATTGCCGGTGTGTATAGTTGATTGGCCTGATATATATTTTAAGGAAAACTCTTGCGAGTTTGAAAGAAAAATCACCTGCACGAAGATGTTTTTTGTTGCTTACTCTGCTGCTGGGTGTAAAGCTGGGTTGATATTCCATGCCACCAGTAACTTCTGTGACATCAGTTACTGAATTGGATCAGTTTATGGCGGTCTGTGCCCAGGGATGAAAGCATGGAGCTTGCTGCAGCGCAGATTGTGCCGGGCAACACATTGACCGCCGTGATTTCAGTGCCCTGGCAACAGCAGCTGCAACATGACTTGCGACCATGATGAGAGGTAATGGGCACGAGTGCTTGAGACAGTAGCAGCAGTAGCAAGCCAAAAAAGAGTACGGCAGAACGCCTTTTGCCAGGCAATGTGGATGAGCGTTCACATCCACCATGAATCCAAGTTGACCACAATATCATATGTCCACATGGCTGTTGTACCCTGTGCGAGGTGTTACGCACTCCCCATTTCATGTCTTCTTCTCTCTGCCTCATTTGGACTTGCGATTTGGTGTTTTCTTAGGAAGATGCTCTCGAAGAGGGACATCCTGAAGCACAGGCGGGGGCAACACTTCAGGTGACATTTGTGACACACCCGGGCATTGGGATGAAAGTTGTCTTATTTCTGTTCCACTGAACAAATGGGTAGTTAAGGGTGACCTGCAAAGCGGACAGAGTCTGCAGTTGGAAGCAGCATTCGAAGTCTTGGCTTTTTCTGTACCCAGGCTCCTGCCCAACCTGCAGACCCCTCCATGCCTGAGGACGGGATAAAGTCATATTTATGCGTATTCATTCGTGCAAGTTTCATCCTTTTTCTCACCTTGAGTCGGGAGAGTCTGTGAATTCTCAATTCCAATCGATGTTTCGTACTTTTTCATCCAAAGTTCAAATTTCAAGGATTCCTGGCAAGGCGGCACTTTGTTTGCAAACAAACCTTGGCAACGGATCTCTGTTGCAGAGCGACTCGTTGAGAGGGAAAAAACCGATGGGACCGGATAGGACGGCGTCGAAATCAAGGACTTCCCGCACGGCATTCGCCTGATGGCGCAGCAGGCCATTTTCGAGGGCTTCGATCCACAAATCGAGGTTCTTGAGAACTGGAGCGACTTGAAGGAAGTCTCAGCTCTGGAAGAGGTATCTTGTCAAGCAAAACTGCTATAATATATCCATAACTCTTCTTCCTTTGCATCAACTGAGCCTTGAGACCGTGGTGGGAACTGGAGAAACGATATGCAGTTTCCATATCGTACATGCATTTTGCCTGTGCCGTACATATATGCCTATGCTATGCTAATTACTCTGCCTGCTGCATGGAGTCTTGCTTCATATTTCTACCCAGTATCCAGAAAGAATTCCTCAGGCAGGTGGTGGAAACCTGCAAGGTAAGATCTGGATCACATACTGTTTGCTTCCTACAATATGATTGTGTCATGCTCGCTCGTGTCAACAGTGTATGTCACGTATATTAACATGTCATGTACAGTATTATTTATATATAAAGTGTGTACAATTAAACCTAAAGTATACATATCACACAACACGTAATGATCCACACATCTGTCCGCATTCTTTCACACTAATTTTTCCACCAGCTCAGGTGCTGCCTGCTGGCCACGTGCCCCTGGCTCGACTCCTCCGGCTCACTCCGGAAGATCGAACTTTCCCTGCACCCGTGAAGGCTGGGAGAGTTTGACATGGAAAACTGTGAGTCACGGAGATGTCCAAGGTTAGAACCTGTGCCGGTGATCAAAATAACATCCTTTTAACTCCATAGCTGCAGTTTTTTTCGTATTTCTGACTGGGATTTCTGGTAATTGGCTGTTCTAAAAGAGCAGCCCAACATTGCTGGTAAACATTCTTGGAGCAACTGAGATGTCAACTGCCCTTGCCACCATGATACTGCAGTGAAAAATGCTCGCGCATGGTCTAATCCGATGTCATCGTTCCCTTTAGAGAATCGGTTTGGGTTTTGGAACGTGATCAATATACAAGAGCCTTGATGATTTTTTTGGCGAAATTGACGACATTTGTTGACTTTTCAGTCAGGTCCAGGTGCCAGCGTGTGCTGGCGCAGACACTGTCTGGAGATCCACTCCAGCTGGCTGGGAGAAGCTGGACACAGTCACTTTCGACGACGGTCGCGCAACGGTGGCGCTGGGCCACTTTTGTGACCTAGTCATCACTGGAAAGTGCATTCCGCTGAAATGCATTGGTTTTCTCCATCCACACGGCGAGAACGCCCAGATTGTGATAATGCACATTGGCTGCGAGTTCTGCCAAAGCGGGTTGGAGTTGCTTTGCTCGGATGAAGATGTTTTGCAACCCCTGCGCAAGTGCGGGCCCAGTCTGCAACTGGGAACGTTTCAGCACAACGAAGAGTTGGAAATCCATCAGACTGGCCGAACATCGAAAATCAAGATGAGGTTTGACAAAATGCCACTGTCGCGAAGACTCGATGCCCAGTCGGGGCTACAGTTTGATGTGGAGATCGATGGAGAGAACCACGTCTTCAAAGCTCCGCTTGTTCCGGGTCCAGCAACTCCTGCACAGCCTGCTCCTCATCCTTCTGGGCACCCAGCTGGATCTGCACCACAGGCCGGGCGTGCGATTTTTTTGAAGTCATGGTTACTTCCGAATGACTGGAAAAACATGGAAAAACTTTTTCACAATTTATTAATATATCAAATATAAGTTCGAATGACTGGAAAAACATGGAAAAACTTTACAATTTATTAATATATCAAATATCAATATCAATTCATTGGATTTCCTGAAGATCTGTAGGATCTGTCAACTTGGCAAGTTGGAACCTCCATGACCCATCTCAACTCGTAAAAGACACGATGCAGCCTCGCAGGTGCCCGCAGGTGCAGGTGCTGTCGGATCTTCCGCGGTGCCGAACCCACAGGTGACTCGGAGATTCCTTGGAGGGTCCTTCTTGGATTAAGTCAAAACATCGGATGTCCCTCATTTCTAGTATCTTCAGTTTTCACGTATTTTTGGGGGGTTAACCAGGTTTGATCGATGCCCATATAGTGGGCACTGTGGTGATTCCTGCTTTTGCAACTTTTGAATGGATCTGACTTGTTCCAAGGCTTGTGACGCCAAACCTGTTGTCAAACTGGGAGATTAGATGGTGCTGATTTTTTGGGCAATGCATTGAACATCATTTTGTGGGGATGCAGTGAAAGTCGTGTCCCTGCATGATACGACATGAAAGGGTGCAACTTTGTTTTGGATCACTGCACTGGTGGATAGAGTCCCTGCAGTGGTCTTTACCCCGGGGTTCCCGGCGAAGTTTCGACAAACTCCGTCATTATTGGAGGTGATTCATCTGGAAGTCGCAGGAGTCATCCTACGCTAATTATGACATATTATGACATCATGTAGAAAAATGAGTTATCCATAGTCACCTGATGTTCAGGGTTGACCCGGTTACCCACCATTCAAGACCGACCCGAGTGGCGGACGCTTTCCAAGCTGCCGATTCTTAGGTGGCATCGACGGTTCCAGGGCATTTGATGCTCAGTGGACGCTTCAACAATGCTGCGATTCTCGTCTGAGAAGACAGATGCCAAGGCGCCAAGGTGCTATAATAATGTGCTTCAAGGATCTTCAAGGCGTGATTTGGGGCTTAATCCAGCTTGCTTTGGACAGTTGTTAGCACCAAGCGGAATTTTGGTTGGATTTTTCCAGCATTTCTGTGGGATCGATGGGTTGCTGACTGAGGATTGTCGCGTACATGAAGGAAGTGAAAAAAAGTCAGCTGGAGACCAGAAATGTCCCAGTGTTCATGGTCGATGCGTCAACTGGCCAAGATTTTGGGCAAATGACATGCGAAGGATTGTGCCGTGCCAAAGGCATGGTAGCTTTCTGCACATCGGAGTACGGTGCGTATACTGGTGTGGGCTATGAAACGTTCTATGAACTCGAGTTCGCTCACCAGAATCAGTTACCCTTGTTTCCCATCAAGCTCTGCGACCAGTGGCCACCAGCACCACAGAACAACGAACGAGGCACTTGCCAAAATAGATTTGTGTTCAAGAAAAGCCTCGCATTCGCAGAAGATCTGCAGATGACCAACGCCAGAGGCGTTGCTGATAAGATTGCTGAATCTGTTGCACGCATGGGCATCTTCCGAAATTAGAGGCAGCTGGAAAGAGATGCGCAAACACGCCTGGGTTAATGTAGAGCGTTGGTGGATCTGGCTGGAATGTTATCAAAGTCTTTGATAGGCAGTTCATGTACACTAAGAAATGCAAGAACACCTGAAAGTACCCCGGTCCCTTCTGGTAAACCAATATGGCAGGCCGGCAAGATCCAAATTCTTCTGGAACAAATCAAACCCATAAACAAAAGATTTTCGACAGATTTGCATTGCATCCCATTGCTACAACTGTTTGATATTGTTTGCTTGTTGGGCGATGGAAAGTGGAGTCGTACACGACCGGAAGTTGTCGTCCGCTCAGCCAACGCCTTGTCAAGGGATGCTCCTGTTGTCACTATGTCACTATCAACATTTCAATGGACGACATTGACACTGAACACACCTTTCATGTCGACTTTCCCGTGCTTATACCTTCGCACGGCGCAGTTTGCAGCTCCAGTCGCGGACCATTTCGGAAGAAAACAGTTCTGCATCCGACATTGCTTCATGGTGAAGGCATCACAGTGAGAGAACACCCGCATTTCCAGAGTGCCTGCAATAGGTTTTCACCACACATCATGGGCAATTGAAACTTAACTTAAATCCCATGATAGATAGCCAATTCGAGGGGTGCCCATCCATTGATCCCAAAGATTCTCATGATTTTTGATGCTCATCATGGTACTTTTTCGCAACACACAGCAACGTATAGCTGGCCGATCTCTGGGGATGTCCAGGGCCTCCGGGGTGAACGCAGTGAACGCCTCAGCCGGATGTGCAGCAGATTTTTCTCCAGTAGCGAACAGATTTGCTGAGTTCAACATAATTTCTACATATGTCTAGAATTTTTGCAGATTTAATGGTGAGATATGGTGACATATAGTTTTCATGTTTTATCTTCGCTGTTGGGTGTGAGATTTCATCTAAAACCGAACATGCTGGCTTTAATCTAAAACCGAACATGCTGGCCGCATCCCTTTCAGGCTGACACCCGAACATGCATCAGATCTCCTTAAAGGACTCGAGTTTGGACAGAGCTCGGGGAGGAAACGGTGTCATCCCCCGAGAATTTCTGCCATTGGTTTGGGCATATCCCAGCAGCTTTGAACATACACGAAGCACCGCTGTGGAGACCCGTGCAACTCCAGGTGATTCAGGTGTAGCCACTGGCCCTCCCGGCTGGGTAACAGCCAAAGAGGTTAGGCCTGGATTTGGCGAACGTAGAGACGGATCAAAAGTCGGAAATTGGTTTCAGGCGGTGATTGAAACCAAATCTGTGCCGGTTTTGTTGGATATGTTTTTTTTTTGTATGATACTTATCGACAACATATTTGGAATTATTTGTTGAGTCGAGTCAACTTTTTAACTGTTTCATTGTGTACTATGACTATTAGTGGATACTAGTTGTCAATATTCATTGATAAGATTCATGTTCCCATGTAGTTTTTTCCTCATGTTCCATACATTTCCATAGATTTTCTCGTGTTTTTCTTTCCGTTTTATCCCCAGGAACTTTGGCATCGCATGGCCTCCAGCGGCTCGGCTTACCCGGAGGCGGGGCACCGGAGAGGCGATTTGGGAACAAAACGTGTAAGGAAACGATAGCTATATATAGAGGATATACATGGATACTATTGAAATGAGAATAATTATTTGGATATGATTGCTTTTTCAATTGTCCATGATATACATGGAGTATACTAATTTTTCAATTATCATCTACAGCATATTTCAGGCATATACGGTATACCCCCAGTCTGTAAGGGTTGTATTCAGAAAAAACATATAGTGAACCTGATGCGGGATATCAATTTTTATTGTGGGAAGTTACGATGGACGCTCATCATGCACTGCTCTCATGGGCTTTTCGTAGACCTATAATGATCTATATATTAACACGTTTTTTTTGCATCCGGTGTATGCGCTTGTTCATGCTTCGTCCAGACCCATCTTGGTCTTTCATGGACGCGATATGACGTGATATCGGTCTCAGCTGCCAGGCTGTTGGTTGCAGCTGTTGGTTGCAGCTGTTGCAAAGTTCACGGCAATTCACGAGGAGAATCTGTGGGATACAGGCCCACGCAGCTGATTCCAGCAACTCATCTCTTGCGGATTTGTGGTTGTCAGCAGAATGTGTCAGCAACAGTCGTTGTTGGCAAATCTAGCCATGTTTCTTTTGGCATCGAAGTTTTCATCACCTGGGTATAGACTATAGAAAATCGATCCCAGCATTTCCCGCCATTGTTGAGTTTCAAATCATGTGCCACGTCGCTGCACAAACTTTGGACGCCTTTGCTAGGCCGAAGCTGCCGTGCCAACAGAACCTGAGGTGTCAATGTTTGGGGTGTTTGGACGGGAATTTTCAGGCACAAACCATAACAAACAGTAACAAAATCATTCAACCCTCATGGTTTATTTCTTTTTTTCAATTTTAGCATTTTTCTGATGTCCTAACATATATTTCAGGCAAATGCTTCTTCAGTCTTATCCATATTTTTTGGCAGAAATAGACCTTTCTTAGATCCACTACCACGCGAAAAAACATGATAGAGCATCATGCGTTGTACCACCTATAGACACTGAGGTGCTTGGGGTGTGGTGATTGGGACGGATTGGACGGGAATTTTCAAGCACAAACAATAACAGGGACAACATCATTCAACTTCATCGCCCACTCTTTGGGTATAGAAAACCGATCCCAGCTTTTCTCGCCATTGTTGAGTTTCAAATCATGTGCCACGTCGCTGCACGAACTTTGGACGCCTTTGCTAGGCCGAAGCTGCCGTGCCAACAGAACCTGAGGTGTCAATGTTTGGGGTGTTTGGACGGGAATTTTCAGGCACAAACAATAACAAACAGTAACAAAATCATTCAACCCTCATGGTTTATTTCTATTTTTCAAGTTTAGCAATATTTTGATATCCTAACATATCCTAACCATATTTTAGGCACATGCTTCTTCAATCTGATCACATTTTTTGTCAGAAATAGACATTTCTTAGATCTACTACGACGGGAAAAAGACTTGATAGGGCATCATGCGGTGTATGCGTTTGTTTTTCATCGCCTACTGGGTATAGACGGTATAGAGAATCGATCTCAGCATTTCTCCTCACATGCGCTGCAAATCATTTGCCACATCGCTGCACAAACTTTGGACGCCTTGGCAAGGCAGCCGCCGTGGCAATAGACCCTAAGGTACCAATTTGGGGTGTGGAGATTGGGACGGATTGGACGGGAACATTTCCATCCATTTCCATCAATTTCTTGGGGGTGGAAATGTGATGCCTCGACTTTCAGATTCTGCTGATGGTCGACAACCGTCCTCGTTGGTAAACCTGCCATGGTCCAACTGATCCGTTCAGCTAGCAGGTCTGTTTGAAATTTCGAGTTTGGGGCGATGCTCTGTTCAAACAACTCTGGACATGGTATCTTAGAACTTTGCAAAACAATTCTCTGCCGAAACAGTCGAAACAGTCGGCAGTCTTGCCTGTCAAGGCAGACAAAGCAGCAGCGAAAAACTGTCAAGACCTGAGATTGTTGAATTCGCTCAGCGGGCTACAGGTAGCTTTCTGTTGAGTTAATTTTGTTAATTTTATTATCCATAACATTTTTCTGTCGACAGTTCTACATGCTGGAAATCTTGCATCTGAATGACGATCTGCTTCAACAAAATCCATGCAGTGCTGGAATCAAACATCCAAAGAGCTCCAAAGAGCTTGGTCCGGAGGAAATTGTTTTAATAACGTCTCTGTTTCTTTAGTTCAGGCTTTCCTGTCCTGGATGGCGTATCTACGCGGGTATATTTCGGCTCGTGTCCCAAGGCAAGCACATCAGTCAGGCTGCCAAGGAGGGCAACGTGGGTGCCGTGAGGCACTTCCTACGCGTTGACCCTGGGAGCCTGGAGAGGAAGGATGATGAAGAAGGCCGCAGCCTCGGACCCAAAGCTGGAAGCCTTCCAAAAGCTGGGTATCTTTTTGGTGAAGTCTGGCTTGGTAAGGAGAGTGTTCCAATAGGCCGACTTGGGTCCTGACTGTGTGGCACCACCAAATTGCTGTGGAGGCACTTGAGGGATCTTGAGAGTCCAAGGCAGACTTTCATTTTGCTACCCTCGATTCATGTATATGAACCAGGTTCCGGAAATGTTCCGGACTGTAGACAGTCTTGTGTGGTTACGTTGCTTGTCTTTGTTTTGCCAGATGGTGTTTGATGGTTAAGCCATCCCTCGCACAGAATCGACTTGGCGGGCCACCAACAGAAGTGCCAATCCCATCTAATCCCACACAATCTTCTGCCACATGCTGTGGAACTCTGTTCTTCAAGTTTGTCTTCAAGCCTATTCAAAAATCCCAAGCCTTGTGTGAGTGCTTTTGGCACACAGGCAACTGGTCCAACTCGTCCACAATCATGCAGTTGAAGAACAAAAGCGAACTTTTATCCAATTGCAGTTTTCAAATTTCTAGGGTGTCAAATCAAAACAGGTTACATTTGTGCCATGATCGGCTCTGGTTCTCGGGTGATGGTGGCATTTTATGGCATTTTTAGTCATCCAGCATCCGCAACAACTTGGAAAAGGGTTTCTGAGCTCACCGGGACACAATCCTTCCCAACCCCTAGTCACAGCTTCTTCATCGGCAACAGCTCCCTCCTCTCCTTGTATTTCTCTTCGCATTCTTTTGTCAGATGGCATGCAATGTTTGTGTTGGACTATGACATTTTAGGGATGCGCAGTTTGCGCAGCTTGCACCTTGACCCGTGGGGCGAGCCTCGTGGCCGCCTCTCCCGGCCGAGGCGAAACGCCGCTGCATCGGGCGGCAGGGCACGGCCACGTCGAGGTGGTCGCGCTGCTGCTGAGGTCCGGTGCCTCCCTGGAGGTAACGGACGATTTCGGTCGCAGACCCCAGAGCTGCCGCAGCCATGGGAACTGTGTCGGGGAGGAGAGCGGATGACAAGTTGCCTTTTCTGGTGCCAAGTCATTCTGAGGAAACAAAATGAAGGCAGACTTGTCCAAGTGGATCCTTTTCCTGTCTCTGCATGAAATGATGTTTCTGGTATAGACATCCATGACAAGTATGATTCGATCAGTTGCTTGTCTTGTTGTCTTGTGTCTTCTTCGATGAAAGTGCCAAAGCAGGTTTGTCGGTCAGATCTCTCTAACTTTCTTAATATCATCTCTGTCCGCATAGCAATGACATAGCACAATGAAGGATGATTGATCAGTCAGTATGGATCAGGGATAAGGGCCTGAAGATGTGATATTAAAAAACAACGTCGGTGGGTTTCAATCCTGAGTGAAAGCTGATATTGGTGGATATGTTCGGACTCTCAAGTCTAGCACAATAGACTCCAAATCCCTTTGTCTTCAAACCTGTACCAATCAGATAGGTTTCAACCCTGCACAAACCTTCCTTTTCACTGTATAGTGGACAGTGAAATGTTTCCCTTGGCAGAAATACTTGTCCAATGACTTTCATGCCTGCCACCAAGCCGCACCTCGCATTGTGTTTCAACCCCGCACCTCACCTCACAGCTCTTGCGTTTCTTCTGGCATTCTTTTGTCAGACATGTCCTGATTTCACTGCACTTGGATAGTCCAAAGTGATTCATGAAATGATTTTTAGACACGTGACGCATGATGTTGAGAAAGTCAGGTGCAACTGATTGTAAGATTTGAACAACACGATAGAGCATATTTGCGATCATTGCTCTTCTTTTTCGCCATGCCTCAGCTTGGCAGACCTTCTATTTATGATCTATCATAATCTATCCACATTTTGCCCAACAACCCGGAGAAACATCCCATTGCTACGCTTTGTTTCTCCACGGCAGCCGCAGCCGCCCCGCCTTCCGCGTCGCATCCTCGGCGCCCGAGGCGAGACGGCGCTGCATCGGGCGGCTGCGGAAGGCCACGCCGCCGTGGTCGAGCAGCTGATCTCTGCGGGGGCCACGGTGGACGCGGCCGATAGAGACGGCCGTGGCCTCGGAAGGGTTTTCGGGTCGTTTTGGGAGTGGCTCTGACGAGGTGATGGAAGGGGTTCGTACATTGGCAGGTGATTTTCGTGCTGTGCTTTGGGATGTTGAGTGGTATTTGCTGTTTAAATAATCCACTTTTGTGCTGGGATGGGCGTCTTGAAATTCGGGTGTAAGAAATGATGAATAGCATGGAAGGCATCATAATTATGTTAGAGCAAGAACATATATTTTGAGATGATTGGCTCTCATTTTGTCCACGATTTCATTGCACTTGTCATGAAACGCTATGCATGCGATACATGATGTTGCGAAAGTAACTTGCAATTAGACCTCGATTAAACAAACATGTAACATGACTGAGTTGCGATGATTGCTCTCGATTTCTTTCCAGTGCCTCACACCAAGAGTATCGGCTGCCATATCTTCTATCTATGCCCTATCCAATTTTTTTGCCCAACAACCCGGAGAAACATCCCATGACTATACGCTTTGTTTCTCGACGGCAGCCGCAGCCGCCCCGCCGTGCGCGTCGCATCCTCAGCGCCCGAGGCGAGACGGCGCTGTATCTTGCGGCTCGGAAAGGCCACGCCGCCGTGGTCGAGCAGCTGATCTCTGCAGGGGCCAATGTGGACGCGGCCGACATCTACGGCCGTGGCCCCGGAAGGGTTTTCGGGTCGTTTTGGGCGTGGCTCTGACGAGGTGATTGAAGGGGTTCGTACATTGGCAGGTGATTTGCTTGCTTTGCTTTGGGATGTTGAGTGGTATTTGCTGTTTAAATAATCCACTTTTGTGCTGGGATGGGCGTCTTGGAATTTGGATATTGAATACCCCTAAGTTGATCCTCTATAAAATGCCGATGCTTTGACTCTATAAAATGCTGTTCCGGGACCCATTTTATAGAGGACTGGCTTGGCTGTCTATAAAATGCCCCTCCAGAGCTCCCTATTTTATCATTTTATAGAGAGCTTCCCTCCCAGCATCAAAGATGATAGAGAGGTGCAAGATGTTGCAGATGGATGATGCATTTTATAGGAGGGATTCTTTGCAAAATGTTACCGTCAAAAAATAAGTACCACAAATGGCTTTGTTGGTAGTTTTTTTTGGGAAAACATTCATATAAATGCATACTTAATAGATAGATAGATAGATCTGCACAAATTTTAACATTTTACTATGGTACAAAAGCAATTTTTTCTTGTTTACAAACCATAAAAGTGACATTTTTCATTTTCCCCACTGATTTTCTCACGTTGTGTCTCCCCTTTCCTCGTTGTGTCTCCACACTTCCGGCTGAAACCTCGGCTCGCTGGCGTTTGTCGAGTCGGGGTTCCGCCGCGCGCGCTGGTGGAAAGGCGGAAAGACTGGGTTGTTGCCCGATGTCGCGCTGCGTGTTTTTGCACACGCGTCGTCTGCGGAGAAGCATTTCATAGAGGGTTCCCACTTGCTGTCTGGATGTTGGCTGACGGAGGACCATTTTATAACCAATTTTCTCTATAAAATGCTTCGTAAAGCATCCTAGGGAACAAGTAAGGGGTATGATATTGATATAAGAGATGACCAAACATGGAGGGGGAAAGACATGAGTGGAAAGCAGAAGCAAGCATGCTGTTGCAGAATGTTCAATGGCTTGAAGTGTCTTGTGATTTGGGTCTTGATCCCAGTTTAACTTCAAATTGAAATGAATTGAAATGATGATATGAAATATGCACAACCAGGGGTTTGAAATCCACATTGCCTATACAAGTTTTTTCCCGCTAGAGTGGACAATAGTTATGGGATGTCTGGGTTTGTTACGTTTCATTCAGGCATGTCTCCATGAGGATATAGAGGCCTGTCCTGATTTCACTGCACTTGACATGAAACACTATACATGCGATACATGATGTTGCGAAAGTAACTTGCAGCTGCTTGTAAGACCTCGATTAAACAAACATGTAACATGACTGAGTTGCGATGATTGCTCTCGATTTCTTTCCAGTGCCTCACACCAAGAGTATCGGCTGCCATATCTTCTATCTATGCCCTATCCAATTTTTTTGCCCAACAACCCGGAGAAACATCCCATGACTCTACGCTTTGTTTCTCGACGGCAGCCGCAGCCGCAGCCGCCCCGCCGTCCGCGTCGCATCCTCAGCGCCCGAGGCGAGACGGCGCTGCATAAGGCGGCTGGGAACGGCCACGCCGCCGTGGTCGAGCAGCTGATCTCTGCAGGGGCCAAGGTGGACGCGGCCGACAACGGCGGCCGTGGCCCCGGAAGGGTTTTCGGGTCGTTTTGGGCGTGGCTCTGACGAGGTGATTGAAGGGGTTCGTACATTGGCAGGTGATTTGCTTGCTTTGCTTTGGGATGTTGAGTGGTATTTGCTGTTTAAATAATCCACTTTTGTGCTGGGATGGGCGTCTTGGAATTTGGATATTGAATGATATTGATATAAGAGATGACCAAACATGGAGGGGGAAAGACATGAGTGGAAAGCAGAAGCAAGCATGCTGTTGCAGAATGTTCAATGGCTTGAAGTGTCTTGTGATTTGGGTCTTGATCCCAGTTTAACTTCAAATTGAAATGAATTGAAATGATGATATGAAATATGCACAACCAGGGGTTTGAAATCCACATTGCCTATACAAGTTTTTTCCCGCTAGAGTGGACAATAGTTATGGGATGTCTGGGTTTGTTACGTTTCATTCAGGCATGTCTCCATGAGGATATAGAGGCCTGTCCTGATTTCACTGCACTTGACATGAAACACTATACATGCGATACATGATGTTGCGAAAGTAACTTGCAACTGCTTGTAAGACCTCGATTAAACAAACATGTAACATGACTGAGTTGCGATGATTGCTCTCGATTTCTTTCCAGTGCCTCACACCAAGAGTATCGGCTGCCATATCTTCTATCTATGCCCTATCCAATTTTTTTGCCCAACAACCCGGAGAAACATCCCATGACTATACGCTTTGTTTCTCGACGGCAGCCGCAGCCGCCCCGCCGTCCGCGTCGCATCCTCGGCGCCCGAGGCGACACGGCGCTGCATGGGGCGGCTGGGAACGGCCATGCCGCCGTGGCCGAGCAGCTGATCTCTGCGGGGGCCACGGTGGATGCGGCCAGCACATTCGGCCGTGGCCTCGGAAGGGTTTTTCGATTTGTTTTGGGCGTGGCTCTGACGAGGTGATGGAAGGGGCTCGTACATTGGCAGGTGATTTTCGTGCTGTGCTTTGGGATGTTGAGTGGTACTTGTTGTTTAAGGATCCACTTTTGTGATGGGATGGGCCTCTTGAAATTCGGGTAAAAGAAATGAGATGAAACGTGTAGAAAGCAGAAGGAATCACGTGGTCCTCAAAGTGTTCACTGGATTTGTTTTTTTGCTGATTTTGTGCTTGATCCCACATTTGTCTTTGAAATTGTGATCGCTGTATGGAACAAATTTTGACAGCAGAGCTGTCAGATATTTTCACTGCCAGCGGTAGAATGTAGTGATTTTATTTTTGTTGCAGGCATGTATCCTGAGTTTGAAAATGGAAAACACATGGGATCCTTGAAAGAACAGCTGTGAGGCATTGATTGTCCCAGACTTGACGCGACCAAACATTGAAAATTCAGCATGACAAATGGGTACAAATGGCATGAGTGCCATGAGCTTGGGCACCTGGGTAAATCCCACTGGATATTTAGGTGTCCAAGGCACGCAAGCATCATATTTTTAAATCAAAATTCATTTTCCTGTCATCACGAGATTAATGTACTCCATTTTGTTCAGTTTTGGTAATCCCTAAAAAATCTTATTTCTTAACTTGAGAAAACGGTTTATCCGCATTTGGATAGTATTCATGCGAAATACTCGTAGTTTCTAAACAGGCGACACTTGATGCTGCGAAAGTCAGGTGCAACTGCTGGCAAGATGTAAACAACACGATAGAGCAAGAACATATTTGCGATGATTGCTCCTCTTGTTTTTCGCCATGCCTCACACTAAAACATACAAAAAGTATCAGCTTGACGGATCTGATATTTATGACATTTTATGACCTATATTCAGAATTTTTCCCAACCACCTGGAGAAACATCCCATGACTATACGCTTTGTTTCTCGACGGCAGCTGCAGCAGCCCCGCCGTCCGCGTCGCATCCTCGGCGCCCGAGGCGAGACGGCGCTGCATTGGGCGGCTCGGAACGGCCACGTCGCCGTGGTCGAGCAGCTGATCTCTGCGGGGGCCACGGTGGACGCGGCCCGCAAAGACGGCCGTGGCCCCGGAAGGGTTTTCCGAGTCGTTTCGGGAGTGGCTCTGGCGAGGTGACGGAAGGGGTTCGTACATTGGCAGGTGATTTTCTGCTGTGCTTTGGGATGTTGAGTGGTATCCGTACTTGTTGTTTAAGGATCCACTTTTGTGATGGGATGGGCCTCTTGGAATTTGGGTATAAGAAATGACCAAACATGGGGGACATGAGTGGAAGGCACGTGGTCACCAATGTTCACTGGATTTGTTTTTTTTGATGATTTTGAGCTTGATCCCACATCTGTCCTTGAAATTGCGATCGCCGTATGGAACAAATTTTGACAGCAGAGACATGCTGTCAGACAGGATGCAAGCGGTAGAATGTAGTGATTTTATTTTTGTTGCAGGCATGTATCCTGAGATTGAAAATGGAAAACACATGGGATCCTTGAAAGAACAGCTGTGAGGCATTGATTGTGCCAAACTTGACGCGACGAAACATTGAAAACTCAGCATGACAAATGGCGTGAGGGCCATGGGCTTGGTCACCTGGGCCAATCCCATTGGATAAGGCACGCAAACATCATATTAATTTTCAAAAAAACATCAACATTTTCCTGCCATCATGAGATTAGTGTACTCCATTTTGTTCAGTTTGGTAATCCCTGAATTTTTAACTTCAGAAAACGGTTTATCGGCACTTGGATAGTCCAAAGTTATATATTCATGAACTATTTTTTTGACACGTGACACATGATGCTGCGAAAGTCAGGTGCAACTGCTTGTAAGATTTGAACAACACCATAGAGCAAGAACATATTTGCGATGATAGCTCCTCTTGTTTTTCGCCATGCCTCACACTGAAAGATACAAAAAATATCAGCTTGGCAGATCTTCTATCATCTTCTATCTATATGACCTGTCCACATTTTTTTGCCCAACCACCCGGAGAAACATCCCATGACTATACGCTTTGTTTCTCGACGGCAGCCGCAGCTGCTGCTCCTTCCGCCTCGCATCCTCGGCGCCCGAGGCGAGACGGCGCTGCATTGGGCGGCTCGGAACGGCCACGTCGCCGTGGTCGAGCAGCTGATCTCTGCGGGGGCCACGGTGGACGCGGCCCGCAAAGACGGCCGTGGCCCCGGAAGGGTTTTCCGAGTCGTTTCGGGAGTGGCTCTGGCGAGGTGACGGAAGGGGTTCGTACATTGGCAGGTGATTTTCTGCTGTGCTTTGGGATGTTGAGTGGTATCCGTACTTGTTGTTTAAGGATCCACTTTTGTGATGGGATGGGCCTCTTGGAATTTGGGTATAAGAAATGACCAAACATGGGGGACATGAGTGGAAGGCACGTGGTCACCAATGTTCACTGGATTTGTTTTTTTTGATGATTTTGAGCTTGATCCCACATCTGTCCTTGAAATTGCGATCGCCGTATGGAACAAATTTTGACAGCAGAGACATGCTGTCAGACAGGATGCAAGCGGTAGAATGTAGTGATTTTATTTTTGTTGCAGGCATGTATCCTGAGATTGAAAATGGAAAACACATGGGATCCTTGAAAGAACAGCTGTGAGGCATTGATTGTGCCAGACTTGACGCGACGAAACATTGAAAACTCAGCATGACAAATGCCGTGAGTGCCATGGGCTTGGGCACCTGGGTCAATCCCATTGGATATTTAGGTGATTTTAGGTGTCCAAGGCACGCAAGCATCATATTTTTAAATCAAAATTCATCAAAATTTCCGGTCTTCATGAGATTAGTGTATACTGTCGATTTTGTTCAGTTTGGTAAGCTTGAATTATTTCTTAACTTGAGAAAACGGCGTATCCGCACTTGGATAGTCCAAAGGTATTCATGAAATAGTTTCTAAACACGCAACACTTGATGTTACGAAAGTCTGATGCAACTGCTGCATGGTAAGATTTACACAACACGATAGAGCCAGAACATACTTGCGATGATTGCTCCTCTTGTTTTTCGCCATGCCTCACACTAAAAGATACAAAAAATATCAGCTTGGCAGATCTTCTATCATCTTCTATCTATATGACCTGTCCACATTTTTTTGCCCAACCACCCGGAGAAACATCCCATGACTATACGCTTTGTTTCTCGACGGCAGCCGCAGCTGCTGCTCCTTCCGCCTCGCATCCTCGGCGCCCGAGGCGAGACGGCGCTGCATTGGGCGGCTCGGAGCGGCCACGGCGCCATGGTCGAGCAGCTGATCTCTGCGGGGGCCACGGTGGATGCGGCCAACGAAAACGGCTGTGGCCCCGGAAGGGTTTTCCGAGTCGTTTCGGGAGTGGCTCTGACGAGGTGATGGAAGGGGTTCGTGGCAGGTGATTTTCGTGCTGTGCTTTGGGATGTTGAGTGGTATCCGTACTTGCTGTTTAAATCCACTTTTTACTTTTTGTGATGGGATGGACCTCTTGAAATTCGGGTAAAAGAAATGAGATGAAACGAGCAGAAAGCAGAAGGAATCACGTGGTCTCAAAGTGCTTATTGTTTTTAAATGATTTTGAGCTTGAAACAAATTTTGAAACTGTGATCGCCGTATGGAACAATTTTTGACAGCAGAGCTGCCAGATATTTTGTACTGCCGAGGTCTCTGGAATGCTTGCCACATTACATCTTGCTACGCTGCCGAGATCTCTGGAATGCTTGCCACGTTACATGTTGCTACGCTGCAGAGATCTCCTGTGGTATCCTTGCTACGTTACATGTTGCTACGCTGCAGAGATCTCTTGTGGTATCCTTGCTACGTTACATGTTGCTACGCTGCAGAGATCTCCTGTGGTATCCTTGCTACGTTACATGTTGCTACGCTGCCGAGATCTCTGGAATGCTTGCCACGTTACATGTTGCTACGCTGCAGAGATCTCCTGTGGTATCCTTGCCACGTTACATGTTGCTACGCTGCAGAGATCTCTTGTGGTATCCTTGCTACGTTACATGTTGCTACGCTGCCGAGGTCTCTGGAATGCTTGCCACGTTACATGTTGCTACGCTGCCGAGATCTCTGGAATGCTTGCCACGTTACATGTTGCTACGTTGCATATGTGGTGGGGCGTTGCATTGCAGCATAGGTTTTCGATCCGTTTTTATGATAATATCAATAATACCATAGATAGATAGATAGATAGATAGATAGATAGATAGATAGATATGTGTAAATGTATATCTCCTGCATAAACTCCAAAAATAGTTTTTTTTTTTTTTTCCGGACCTTAAAAAAAAACTTACTTTCCATGGAAAAAAACAGTACATTTGAAAAGAGGAACAAAAAGCCTTGGAAAACACAGTGAATTTGAAGCTCTGGTTCAGGTGAAACAGACAGTGCATCACTCCGAAACCACAGCGAGAACAAATTTCCAGAAAAAAAAGGGAAAATCAGTCGTTGACCCTTCTGGGGGCGGCGAGACCGGCATCCTTGTTTAAGGATCCACTTTTGTGATGGGATGGGCCTGTTGAAATTCGGGTGTAAGAAAGGGCCAAACATGGAGGGCAAAGGCATGAGTGGAACAGAAAGCAGAAGGATGTAGGCGCAGACTGGCCACTGGCCAATGACGTCGCAATCTTCAGCTTGACCTGATTTGATGCAAACTTATTGCGGTTGTTTTGCCCCATGGGTATTCAGCAACTAAAGCAACAGACATAAGTCAGTGGAAGAGGGAAGGAGGGGCTGAGGATGCGGCGCATGAAAATGTCGGACAACAAGCTGAGTAGTGTAGTTCTCACAGGAGAGGAAGGGCGGAAGAACATGCGATATATGCGATGCTGACAACCCTGAAGACTTTAACTTGCGCATTGCACTGGTTCTGTGAAAAGAGCTATGAAGAGAGACACGTTGAACACTTGGACACGCTGGGTGGACGACGCTGGGTGCACGCGGTGCTTTCAAATCTTTCAACACAAGGATTTGCAAAGGAAGATGCTTCAGAGCACGCTCAAGGACACTGATGCCCTTGACGTAGTAGACTTAGTAGACCTTCATGGCCGTTTTCGCCACAACCGGGCCAGCAGGAGTGCCAGTCACCACCTCAATCTTTCCTTACATAACTATCATAACTCGCCCTGGAACTCCGACAGCCGACTGTCTTTTTTGGATCGAACATGATTGGAACACATTCTTATGCCGTAATCTAATTTGACCCCCTTGTGACAAACATTCACATTGTGAAGCTGCGCCCAACAGACTCCAAGCATCTCCAAGCATTGGCCCCTGAAGAAAACATATCAAACCAGTCCTGATACTCTTGAGACCAGACCCCCGAAAATCCGAAACCCTCAAACCTGGTTACTTCTGATTACACTGAAATCAGTTGGAAGTCTTGGCAAAAGGCTTTCGACCTGCAGGTGAGTTTTGCGGCCACCTCCCGGGCCCTCCCGGCAGGGTGTGATACATTGCGAATAGATACGGTTTACTGTCAGAAAAGACGGCAAGTTGGTGGAATGTAATGATTTTCTTGATTTGTTGCAGATGAGTTCAGAGATTGAAACATGGAAACATATAGGATCCTTCAAATCACAGCCGTGAGCCTTGATTTGCCAGACTTGAGCAGAAATTGAAAACTCGGCATGGCAAATGCCATGAGTGTTATTTTTTAACCTGAGAAAATGATTTATCTTGATTTATCTGTCCACCTCCGTAGGACTTTCCAAGTTCCCACGCCAAAATGCCGCCGTCGCCTCTTAGGCCACACGCCTTACGACCTGGCTGAGATCGATGGCGGCCACCGCCAGGTGATGGGCCTCCTGCGCCCAGCCTCTTGGCAGCCGTTCTGGAGCCATGACGAAGATCAACCATCATGGATCACGTATCTCACATTACTAGTCTGACCCATGATATTATCAAACATTCTGGATACCATCGGGGTTGAACGATAAACAAACATGGGAAAACCTTACCCATCAAAAGTATTTGGAAGTTTGTATCATGTATTAATTGACCACCAAATATGAGGATCACACCATCAAACATTGGGATCTACGTTACTATCAAACCAAACTAAATCTATTCGCCACAGATATTCAACCATTTAACAATTACTTGTCTTGCTGTTGTTTGTTGTTATATGTGCAATGGTCAAAACATGGAATGTTTTCTCATGAAGGGGAATGGTCATCCCATCACTGATAGGGATTCCCATTGCTCTCACCATACTTCTTCACGGAGGATGGGTGCTCCAAATATTTTTCCACTGTTCCGTTAGTTGATTCTGGCACATCAGATTTTCTTGCGTTATACCTGGTGCATCCCCCGTGTTCCTTGCCCTAAGCACCACAGTTGTGTCGGCGGCATGAAAAAAACCGAGGTCTTTGTGGCTCTTCTGAGTGGCCCAAGCTGCCGTTGCACCTGGGCGTTGTGGGTATAGATGATCCGAGGAATACCTGCTGACCGTCAGTGGAAAAAAATCAACCCCCGAAGAGTAAATCAACATTGGTTTTCAATGGGTTTTCAAAGCACATGGGACCGTGGTGGCCGTCATAGATGATACACCATGGTGAAGTGCCTATTGATTCGACCTGTTGTTTGTCAACATAGTATAGCGTAGTATAACCAGCAAAATGTTGAAACAAAATGAATAATTGGTTTTCAAGGCGCTTGGATTGCCCGGATAAGAGATTCGCGTTTTCATCCCACCCCATGACATGCTTCGTGTTGAGGCACCACGTTGACGGAGTCCACACTGTTGTGCATTCTTGTTGTGCATCCCAAAACTGGGATAGGTTAGGTATGTTGTGACCATGGACATGGGGATGCGGGGGCTGGCAAATTGTGACGTACATTTTCTTGCCCCTCACCCATCCACATTTGGGTTGTTTGGAAACGCCTCCATCAACCTTGTTTTAAATGTTGCCTTTTTTTCCTGTTTTCACACAGGGAACAAACACCATACTTGGGGGACCTTCCAAGTAAATGACATTTTGCGTGACGGGCTCATCCCAAGAAATTGCATCTTCAAAGAAAATCATTATTGTACATTTAGGAAGGTTTTACCTTCTAAATGTAATCTGACATTGTGGACGCCCTTGCAAAATTCAAGGGGACCGGAAGTTACATATTGGAAGATACCAATTTTCCTGGTTTCGGGAAAATGCAACTTCATTTAGCAAGCACACACTCAGCCAAAATATAAGTTACAAGACGCAATCAGTTGATTCGACGTGGTAGCAAAACGATGAAGAATGACAACATGTTTTCAAACGAATTGGACTGCCAAGATACGAGATTTGCATCTTCATCCAGCCCGTTGAGGCACCACATTGATGGAGTCAGCAGTCCACTCACTTGTGCATCCGTGCTGTGCATCCGAAGAGTGGATCAAACCCAACTGAACTGAGGCGATTCATCACAGGAGCGAACTGTGTTGGAGTTGAAAGAAGAAGCCGAGTGCCTCGGCACAGAGATGAACTCCGGGTTGACTCAGAACCACAGGGCAACAGCTCAGTTGACGTCTACAAAACCTGGCAACAGCAGTTCGGTTCTGACAACGACAGTTGTGCAGGTTGGGTGCAGGTTGCAGGTTGCAGGTTTTAGGGATCATAATTTGAGAAGGGCATTTTGAATGGAGTATTTTTCAGACCCTCTTCAAATCTCAATCTTGAAACGAAACTTAGACCTCCAAATCATGGAACACCTCATGCAAAGTAGCAAGCGCCACTACAGTTGGCACACGCTTGGTACCCGTCTTTGCCACAAGTAATGAATAATCTCATCCAGATTCCGAAATGGATCAGTGGACCCTTCATGACCGTGATACCCCAACAAGTCAAGATCTGAAATTGCGCATCTTTTTATCTTTTCACGGTTCGTTTCCGTATGATGCGCTCAGAACTAAATTGGTGATTTGGTTCCAGGCACCTGTGACGTGCATCGCTTCCCTGATGCTGGTTGCAAGTCTCTGTCACAGAAGGGGCATTTCGGGGTTCATCTGACTGCAGCCTGATGCCTGCTGCACACTCTGTCCAGTGGATCCGAGGAAAAAGCTCGGCGTCCAGATTAAACACATCATTGGACAAAACCACAAGCCATTGCTACTCGGCTGCACAGAACTTTTTGACCCTTCTGCCCAGCTGATGGAAATTGTACAATCCTGTCTCACGTGGGAAACAATCTTGTTGGGTATTGGTGGTAGGCCTCTTCATATCATTGGCTTGTTTTTACATTGCCGGTGTGTATAGTTGATTGGCCTGATATTTCAAGGAAAACTCTTGCGAGTTTGAAAGAACAAATCACCTGCACGACGATGTTTTTTGTTGCCTACTCTGCTGCTGGGTGTAAAGCTGGGTTCATATTCCATGCCACCAGTAGCTTCTGTGACATCAGTTGCTGAATTGGATAAGTTTATGGCGGTCTGTGCCCAGGGATGAAAGCATGGAGCTTGCTGCAGCGCATATTGTGCCGGGCAATACATTGACTGCCGTGATTTCAGTGCCTTGGCAGCAGCTGCAACATGACTTGCGACGGTGATGCGGGGAAATCGGCACGAGTGCTTGAGACAGTAGAAGCAGTAGCAAGCCAAAAAGACTACGGCAGAATGCCTTTTGCCAGGCAATGTGGATGAGTGTTCACATCCACCATGAAGCCAACTTCAGCACAATGTCATGATGCCATTTTGGTCCCACTGGTTCGTTAATTCTGTGCCAGGTGTTCTCCACTCCCCATTTCAAGTCTTCTTCTCTCTGCTTCATTTGGACTTGGCGTCTTTCTTAGGAAGATGAAATTGAAGAGGCACATCCTGAAGCACAGGCCGCCTGGGGGGCAGAGGTGCTACTGGGGGGTGCAATTCCACTGAACACCTGGGTCATAGTCTGGTAATGTCTGGTAATATGATGGCATTTTAAACTTATTTTATGGTGTATATATATACCATGGTATATCTTGGTATTTCGTGGTATATATTTTGGTATATCATGGTATATATTATGGTATAATATACGGTATATACTATGGTATATTGATGTATACTGCCATAATGCCATAAGGGTCACCCCACAGCAGACAGGGTCCACAGCTGGAAGCGGCATTCGAAGTCCCGGTGTCTCAACCCAAGGCGCCTTCTCAAGCTATGCCTGAGGACGGGATGAAGCCCTTGGCAGCTTCAAACATTCATTCGGAGTCACGAATCTTCATTTGTTTCATCATGTTTCATCAGTGTCCGCATTTTCAGTCGGAGAGTCTGGATTAAAGAGTTCTGAAGATTTCAATCAATGATTTTCGTGTTTCTTCATCCTAAGTTACAAAAGCCTCAAGAATTGCTGGCAAGGCGGCTCTTTGTTTCCAGCAAACAATGCGGATCGTTGTTGCAGAGCGACTTGAGGGGGAAAAACGGATGGGATCGGATAGGACAGCTTCGAAATCAAGGACTTCGGGCACGGCATTCGCCTGATGGCGCAGCAGTCCATCTTTACCGAGTTTAACATAAAGATGGACGTGCTGGAAAACTGGAGCGACTTGAAGAACGTCTCAGTCCTGGAGCAGGTATCTTGTCTAGCAAACTACCAACAATCATCTTCCTTTGCATCTGAGCCTTGAGACCGGTGGACAGGTACATTCCCTAGGCAGGTGGCGGGTGGCACATATTAACATGTTCCACAGATTTGTTTGCATTCTGTCGCAATGAATTTCCACAAGCTCAGGCACTGCCTGCTGGCCATGTGCCCCTGGCTCGACTCCTCCGGCTCACTCCGGAAGATCGACCCTTTCCAACACCGGTGCAGGCTGGGAGAGGGGGCCCAAAAATTGTGAACCACACAACAAAGGTCCAAGGCTCAGCTTTTCCGTTGTCCGGCATTGTCCGGCTGCGAAAACTGCTAAAAGAGCAAACCAACATACATAATCCAACCTTGTTCTTCTTGCAAGACGACATGTTAACAGCAAACTTTGCAGCAATTATTGCTAGCGGAGAAAGATAATGCATATTGTAATCATTTGGTACCCAAACCAGTGTCGTTTACCCTGCTTTGCAGAGAATCGACTTGGGTTGGGCACCAGCAGAAACACCGAAACGAGCCTTGACACATTTTTCCTTCTGTTATGGGGGCCAGGTGGAGGTGCCGACCTGTGCTGGTGCCGAAGCCCTGTGGAGATCAAGGACGGCTGGATGGGAGAAACTGGAAACCGCCTCTTTCGACGAGACCCGAACAACGGTGGAACTGGACCACTTTTGCGAGCTTGTCATCACTGGGAAGTGTCGTCCACTCAAAGGGCTTGGATTCCTCCATCCGCGCGGTGAGCATGCACAGGTGGTCGTAATGCACATAGGCTGCGAGTCATGCGAGGACGGCTTGGAGCTGCTTTGCTCAGACCCAGATGTGCTGCAACACTTCCGGAGATGTTCTCCCAACCTTCAGCTGGGAACCTTTCGCCATGATGAAGACCTCGAAATCAAGCAGCCTGGCCGAACATCAAGGATGAAAATCCGGTTCCATCGCATGCCGCTGATATCCTGCGAGCTGGATGCCCAGTCCCGGCAACACTTTGATGTGGAGATCGAGGAAAAGAACCACTGCTTTAAGATCCGGCCAGAAGAGGCAACAGCGGCAACAGTGGCAACAGCTGCAACAGCTGCAACAGCGGCAACAGCTGCAACAGCCACAACAGCCACAACAGCTGCAACAGCTGCAACAGCGGCAACAGCTGCAACAGCGGCAACAGCGGCAACAGATGCAACAGCTGCAACAGCTGCAACAGCCACAACAGCTGCAACAGCTGCAACAGCTGCAACAGCGGCAACAGCTGCAACAGCGGCAACAGCGGCAACAGCAGCAACAGCTGCAACAGATGCAACAGCTGCAACAAGCGCAACAGCTGCAACATCGGCAACAGCCGCAACAGCTGCAACAGATGCAACAGATGCAACAGCTGCACCAGCTGCAACAGCGGCAACAGCCGCAACAGCTGCAACAGCGGCAACAGCTGCAACAGCTGTAACAGCTGCAACAACGGCAACAGCTGCAACAGCTGCAGCAGCTGCAACAGATGCAACAGCTGCAACAGCTGCAACAGCTGCAGCAGCGGCAACAGCGGCAACAGCTGCAACAGCGGCAACAGGAGCAACAGCTGCAACAGCGGCAACAGCTGCAACAGCCGCAACAGCTGCAACAGCGGCAACAGCTGCAACAGCCGCAACAGCTGGATCTGCACAGGCATTGCTGGGACTGGTGTTGTTTTGTTTGACTATGCTTTCCCCAACATGACTGATTGGTAGTGATTGGGTATTCAAACTCCAAGTCAAGTCCATTCAGCGGATCCCTCAAGATCCGCTCGAAATGGTGCCTCTTCTGATTGCAACCTTCAGATCCAACGTGCGCCGTGCTGCCAGGCATCAGCTGCCTCGACTGACATGCGATCGGTGGGGAACTCAGGATCTTGGGGATGGATCAAAACTAGTTGTCATAAGTTTGAGGGTATGAAAATCAATGGAGACCAGCTACTTTGGTGCGAACTGACCCATAACATCCCATAACCACATTGTCCCTCGAAAACCATTTCCGTATTCAATCAAGGACTGCCTTGTTTCGGATCCCTCCATTGATTCAGGATTTTGGGTACTTGAGGGCATTGTACTTGTCTTTACCCACCATTCAAAACCTCAGTGTGTTCACAGCTGACGCTTTGCTGCACTGCCAGTTCTTAGGCGGCGTCACAGCAAGGACACTTGTTGTTGAGCGGACGCTTCAACAGTAATGAGATCCTTGCCTCAAAAACACAATTTTGATGTGATTCCATGTGTGGTTTTGGGGATCGGATGTGCTTTGAACAGGTGAGTCATAGTCAAGATGTCCAACGCTTCATGGGGTTGATGACTGAGGATTATTGAGTACATGAAGGCAGTGAAGAAGCAGCTGGAAGCTCGAAATGTACCAGTTTTCATGGTTGAAGCAACCGTCGGCCAAAGTTTTGCTGACCTGACGCGGATAGGATTGTGCCGTGCCAAAGGCATGGTAACATTTTGCACGTCGGAATATGGGGCATACACTGGTGTAGGATATGAAACTTTCCATGAGCTTGAATTTGCTCATGACCACCGGTTGCCCTTGTTTCCGATTAGGCTCTGCGAGCAGTGGCCACCAGCGCCGCAGAACAACGAACGAGGCATCTATCAGAATCAATTGGTGTTCAAGAATGGCCTCGTGTACATAGATGATCGGCAGATGAATAAGGCCCAACACGTTGCTGATCAGATTGCTGAATCTGTCGCACGAATGGGCATCTTCCGAACTAAGCTGCAGCTTTAAAAGATTGCGGGGGCACGCCTTGGGAAATCAATGCGGAGTGCTGGTGCATGTCCTGGCTGGAATGTTATCAATGTCTTTGGTAGGCAGCTGTACAGTAAGAACACCCGAAAGTACGCAGGTGCCTCCAGGTAAACCAATATGGCAGGCCCGCAAGATGCAAATTCTTGATTCTTGAGGAACAAATCATTCGTAAAACCAGAAACAAAGGATTTCCATTCATTCTATTGCTATTGTTTGATATTGTTTGCTCGTTGGGTGATGGAAAGTGAAGTCATACACCATCGGTGGAAGTTGTCCTCCGCTCAGCCAACGCCTTGTCAAGGAATTTGTCAAGGCTTTGCAGCTTTGGACCGATGCTCCTTTTGTCACTATGTCACTATCAACATTTCAATGGACGACACTGACACTGAACACACCTTTCATGTCGACTTTCCCGTGCTTATACCTTCGCATGGCGCAGTTTGCAGCTCCAGTCGCAGACCATTTAGGAAGAAAACAGTTCTGCATCTGACATTGCTTCATGGTGAGGCATCACAGTGAGAGAATAAGCACATTTTCAGAGTGCCTGCAATAGGTTTTCACCACACATCATGGGCATTTGATTATGAAATATTATAAATTGAAACTTAAATCCCATGATAGATAGCCAATTCGAGGGGTGCCCATCCATTGATCCCAATGATTTTCATGATGTTTGATGATCATCATGGTACTTTTTCGCAACACACAGCGACGCATAGCTGGCCGATCTCTGGGGATGTCCAGGGCCTCCGGGGGTGAACGCAGTGAACGCCTCAGCCGGCCGGATGTGCAGCAGATTTTTCTCCATTAGCGAACAGATTTGGTGAGTTCAACATAATTTCTACATATTTCTAGAATTTTTGCAGGTTCAATGGTGAGATATGGTGAAATATAGTTTTCATGTTTTATCTTCGCTGTTGGGTGTAAGATTTCATGGTAGCTGGTAGCTGTTAGAATGTCTTAAGCAACTTGTTTTGGCTTGAATCTAAAACCGAACATGCTGGCCGCATCCCTTCAGGCTGATGCCCGAACACGCATCAGATCTCCTTAAAGGACCCGAGTTTGGACACAGCTCGGGGTGTCATCACCCGAGAATTTCAGCCATTGGTTTGGGCCTATCCCAGCAGCTTTGAACATGCACGAAGCACCGCTGTGGAGACCCGTGCAACTCCAGGTGATTCAGGTGTAGCCACTGGCCCTCCCGGCTGGTTAACAACCAAAGAGGTCAAACCCAGGTTGGGGCTGGATTTGGCGAACGTAGAGACGGATCAAAAGTCGGAAATTGATTTGAGGCGGTGATTGAAACCAAATCTGTGCCGGTTTTGTTGGATAGATGTTTTTCTTGTTTATCTCTGTATGATACCAATCGACAAAATAACTTGAATTAAATTAGTTGAGTCAACTTTTTAATTGTTTCATTGTGTACTATGATTATTAGTGGATACTAGTTGTCAATATTCTTTGATAAGATTCATGTTCCCATACAGTTTTTTTCCTTATGTTCCATACATTTCCATAGATTTTCTCGTGTTTTTGTTTCCGTTTTATCACCAGGAACTTTGGCATCGCAGCCGCATGGCCTCCAGCGGCTCGGCTTACCCGGAGGCGGGGCACCGGAGAGGCGATGTGGGAACAAAACGTGGAAACGGTAACTATATATTATTATATATATATAACTATATATTATTATTACATATATATATAGAAGATATACATGGATACTATGATACTATTGAAATGAGAATAATTATTTGGATATGATTGTTTTTTCAATTATCCATGATATAACATGGAGTATCCTCATTTTTCAATTATCATCTATACAGCATATTTCAGGTATATACGGTATACCGCCCCCAGTCTGTATAAGTTGTATATTAAGAAAAAACACATAGTGAACCTGATGCCGGAAATCCGTTTTTATTGTGGGAAGCTATGATGGACGCTCATAATGACACTGCTCTAATGGGCTTAATCTGTATATTACCACCTTTTTTTTTTGCATCCGGTGTATGCGCTTGTTCCAGACCCATCTTGGTCTTTCATATACGCGATATGACGTGATATCGGTCTCAGCTGCCAGGCTGTTGGTTGCAGCTGTTGGTTGCAGCTGTTGCAAAGTTCATGGCAATTCACGAGGAGAATCTGTGGACAGGCCCTCGCAGCTGATTCCAGCAACTCACCTCTTTCGGATTTGTGCTTGTCAGCAGAACGCGTCAGCAACACAGTGGTTGTTGGCAAATCTAGCCATGTTTTTTTTGTGTATCGAAAATAGTTAGTTTTCATCACCTGGGTATAGAAAATCGATCCCAGCATTTCTCGCCATGAGTTTCAAATCATTTACCACGTAGATCTGCACAAACCTTGGACGCCTTGGCAAGGCTGTAGCCGCGGTGCCAATAGATCCTGAGGTGTCAATTGTTTGGGGTGTCAAGATTGGGACAGATTGGACGGGAATTTTCAGGCACACACAATAACAAACAGGAACAAAATCATTCAACCCTCATGGAGTATTTCTATTTCTCAATGTCAGCAATATCTTGATATATATCCTGACCATATTTCAGGCAAATGCTTCTTCAAACTCATCCATTTTTTTTGACAGAAACAGACATTTCTTAGATCCACTACCATGCGATTTCTTTTTTAAGGGCATCATGCAGTGTAGGCGTTTGTTTTTCATCGCTTTCATCGCCTACTGGGTATAGAGAATCGATCTCAGCATTTCTCCTTGCGCTGTAAATCATTTGCCCCATCGCTGCACAGACTTTGGACGATTTTGGACTTTGCAAGGCCGCAGCTGCCGTGGCAATAGACCATGAGGTGCCGTTATTTCGGTGTGGAGATTGGGACGGACTGGGTTGAGCATAATGTGGTGCCAGCTCGGCATGCAGATTCAGCTGGTGTCAACAACCGTCCTCGTTGTTGGTAAACCTGCCATGGTCCAACTGATCCGTTCAGCTAGCTGGTCTGTTTGAAATTTCGAGTTTGGGGCGATGCTCTGTTCAAACAACTCTGGACAGGGTATCTTAGAACTTTGCAAAACAATTCTCTGCGAAACAGTTGGCATTCTTGCCCGTCAAGGCGGACGAAGCAGCAGCGAAAAGCTGTCAAGATCTGAGATTTTTGAATTTGCTCAGCGGGCTACAGGTAGCTTTCTGTTGAGTTCATTTTGTTAAGTTTATTTTCCATAACATTTTTTTCGAGGGTTCTATGTGTTGGAAATTTTAGGCCTCAAGATCTGCTCTGCCATCCTCATCCCCAGGCTGGAAAAAGAACAAAATCCATGCAGTGCTGGAGGTTTCATGATGGTTTCTTTATTTCAGGTTTTCCCGTCCTGGATGGGGTAGCTATCTGGGTATCCCTGTTAACGAGCCGTGCCCCTTCCAGCAGCTCCCAAGGGGGTTGGGCTCATGTCCCGAGGCAAGCACATCCATCAGGCGGCCAAGGAGGGCAACGTGGGTGCCGTGAGGCACTTCCTGCGTGTCGACCCCGAGAGCCTGGAGAGGAAGGATGGAGAAGGCTGCAGCCTCGGAACTGGTGTTGGAAGATACGAAGCAGATCCAGGCCTTCCATAAGCTGGGTATCTTTTTGGTGAAGTCTGGCTTGGTAAGGGTTCCACTAGACCGACTTGGGTCCTGACCGCGTGGCACCACCAAATTGCTGTGGAGGCACTTGAGGGTTCAAGGCAGACTTTCATTTTGCTACCCTCGATTCGTGTATATGAACCAGGTTCCGGACTGTAGACAGTCAGTCTTGTGCGGTTACGTTGTTACGTTGCGTGTCTTTCTTTTGCCAGATGGTGTTTGATGGTTAAGCCATCCCTCGCGCAGAATCGACTTGGCGGGCCACCAACAGAAGTGCCAATCCCATCTAATCCCACACACATCTTCTGCCACATGCTTTGGAAATCTGTTAAGATCTGTTAAGCGCTTATCTTAAACTTCAAGCCTGTTCAAAAATCCCAAGCCTTGTGTCAGTGCTTTTGGCACACAGGCAACTCGACCACAACCATGCAGTTGAAGAACAAAAGCAGAGTTTTATCCAATTGCATTCCAATTGCAGTTGTCAGATTTCTAGGCTGTCAAATCAAAACAGGCTACGTTTGTGCCATGATCGGCTCTGGTTTTCGAGTGATGTTGGCATTTTTAGTCATCCAGCATCGGCAACAACTTGAAAAAGGGTTTCTGAGCTCACCGGGACACAATCCTTCCCAACCCCTAGTCACAGCTTCTTCATCGGCAACAGCTCTCTCCTCTCCTTGTGTTTCTCCTGGCATTCTTTTGTCAGATGGCGTGCAATTGTGTTGGACTATGACATTTTAGGGATGCGCAGCTTGCGAGTTTTCCAAGTCTCGTTCGCTCACGCCTTGACCCCGTGGGGCGAGCCTCGTGGCCGCCTCTCCCGGCCGAGGCCGAACGCCGCTGCACCTGGCGGCGTGGCACGGCCACGTCGAGGTGGTCGCGCTGCTGCTGAGGTCCGGCGCCTCCGTGGAGGTGGTGGATGACGAATACGGTCGCAGACCCCAGAGCTGTCGCAGCCACGGGAACTGTGTCGGGGAGGAGAGCGAATGCCTTTTACTTGCCTTCAACATTTGTCCAAGTGGATCCTTTTCCTGTCTCTGCATGAAATGATGCTTCTGGTATAGGCATCAGTGACAAGTATGATTCGATCAGTTGTTGCTTGTCTTGTGAGTTCTTCTGATGAAAGTGCCAAAGCAGGTTTGCCGGGTCAAATCTCTTACTTTCTGAATATCATCTCTGTCCGCATAGCAATGACATAGCACAATGAAGGATGATTGATCAGTCAGTATGGATCAGGGATAAGGGCCTGAAGATGTGGTATTAAAGAACAACGTCGGTGGGTTTCAATCCGTCTGAGTGAAAGCTGATATTGATGGATATGTTCGGACTCTCAAGTCTAGCACAATAGACTCCAAATCCCTTTGTCTTCAAACCTGTATTAATTATATAGATAGGTTTCAACCCTGCACAAACCTTCCTTTTCACTGTATAGTGGACAGTGTAAGTTTCCCTTGGCAGAAATACTTGTCCAATGACTTTCATGCCTGCCACCAAGCCGCACCTCGCATTGTGTTTCAGCCCCGCACCTCACCTCACAGCTCTTGCGTTTCTCCTGGCATTCTTTTGTCAGACATGTCCTGATTTCACTGCACTTGGATAGTCCAAAGTTATTCATGAAATGATTTTTAGACATGTGACACATGATGTTGAGAAAGTCAGGTGCAACTGCTGGTAAGATTTGAAAAAACACGATAGAGCAAGAACATTTTTGCGATGATTGCTCCTCTTGTTTTTCGCCATGCCTCACACTAAAACGTACAAAAAGTATCAGCTTGGCAGATCTTCTATCTATGACCTATCCAAAAATATTTGCCCGACAACCCGGGGAAACATCCCATGACTATACGCTTTGTTTCTCGACGCCAGCCGCAGCTGCTGCTCCTTCCGCGTCGCATCCCCGGCGCCGAGGCGAGACGCCGCTGCATAGGGCGGCTCTGCACGGCCGTGCCGCCGTGGTCGAGCAGCTGATCTCTGCGGGGGCCAAGGTGGACGCGGTCGACAACGACGGCCGTGGCCTCGGAAGGGTTTTCGGGTCGTTTTGGGAGTGGCTCTGACGAGGTGACGGAAGGGGTTCGTCCATTGGCAGGTGATTTTCGTGCTGTGCTTTGAGAGTGTTGAGTGGTACTTGTTGTTTAAGGATCCACTTTTGTGATGGGATGGGCCTTTTGAAATTCGGGTAAAAGAAATGAGATGAAACGAGTAGAAAGCAGAAGGAATCACGTGGTCTCAAAGTGTTCACTGGATTTGTTTTTTTGATGATTTTGTGCTTGATCCCACATTTGTCTTTGAAATTGTGATCGCTGTATGGAACAAATTTTGACAGCAGAGCTGTCAGATATTTTTACTGCCAGCGGTAGAATGTAGTGATTTTATTTTTGTTGCAGGCATGTATCCTGAGTTTGAAAATGGAAAACACATCGGATCCTTGAAAGAACAGCTGTGAGGCATTGATTGTCCCAGACTTGACGCGACGAAACATTGAAAACTCAGCATGACAAATGGATACAGATGGCGTGAGTGCCATTGGCTTGGGCACCTGGGTCAATACCATTGGATATTTCCGAAGCACACAAGCATCATATGTTTAAATAAAAAATCATTAAAGTTTCCTGTCATGAGAGTAATGTACTCTATTTTGTTCAGTTTGGTAAGCCGTGAATTATTTCTTAACTTCAGAAAACGGTTTATCATGGTTTATCCGCATTTGGATAGTCCAAAGGTATTCATGAAATATATGAAATAGTTTCTAAACACGTGACACATGATGTTGAGAAAGTCAGGTGCAACTGCTGGTAAGATTTGAAAAACACGATAGAGCAGGAACATATTTGCGATGATTGCTCCTCTTGTTTTTCGCCATGCTTCACACTAAAACGTACAAAAAGTATCAGCTTGGCAGATCTTCTATCTATGACCTATCCCAAAATATTTGCCCAACCACCCGGAGAAACATCCCATGACTATACGCCTTGTTTCTCGACGGCAGCCGCAGCCGCCCCGCCGTCGGCGTCGCATCCTCGGCGCCCGAGGCGAGACGCCGCTGCATAGGGCGGCTCTGCACGGCCATGCCGCCGTGGTCGAGCAGCTGATCTCTGCGGGGGCCAAGGTGGACGCGGTCGACAACGACGGCCGTGGCCTCGGAAGGGTTTTCGGGTCGTTTTGGGAGTGGCTCTGGCGAGGTGACGGAAGGGGTTCGTCCATTGGCAGGTGATTTTCGTGCTGTGCTTTGAGAGCGTTGAGTGGTACTTGTTGTTTAAGGATCCACTTTTGTGATGGGATGGGCCTTTTGAAATTCGGGTAAAAGAAATGAGATGAAACGAGTAGAAAGCAGAAGGAATCACGTGGTCTCAAAGTGTTCACTGGATTTGTTTTTTTGATGATTTTGTGCTTGATCCCACATTTGTCTTTGAAATTGTGATCGCTGTATGGAACAAATTTTGACAGCAGAGCTGTCAGATATTTTCACTGCCAGCGGTAGAATGTAGTGATTTTATTTTTGTTGCAGGCATGTATCCTGAGTTTGAAAATGGAAAACACATCGGATCCTTGAAAGAACAGCTGTGAGGCATTGATTGTCCCAGACTTGACGCGACCAAACATTGAAAATTCAGCATGACAAATGGATACAAATGGCGTGAGTGCCATTGGCTTGGGCACCTGGGTCAATACCATTGGATATTTCCGAAGCACACAAGCATCATATTGTTTAAATAAAAAATCATTAAAGTTTCCTGTCATGAGAGTAATGTACTCTATTTTGTTCAGTTTGGTAAGCCGTGAATTATTTCTTAACTTCAGAAAACGGTTTATCATGGTTTATCCGCATTTGGATAGTCCAAAGGTATTCATGAAATATATGAAATAGTTTCTAAACACGTGACACATGATGTTGAGAAAGTCAGGTGCAACTGCTGGTAAGATTTGAAAAACACGATAGAGCAAGAACATTTTTGCGATGATTGCTCCTCTTGTTTTTCGCCATGCTTCACACTAAAACGTACAAAAAGTATCAGCTTGGCAGATCTTCTATCTATGACCTATCCCAAAATATTTGCCCAACCACCCGGAGAAACATCCCATGACTATACGCCTTGTTTCTCGACGGCAGCCGCAGCTGCCCCGCCGTCGGCGTCGCATCCTCGGCGCCCGAGGCGAGACGCCACTGCATTGGGCGGCTGAGTACGGCCGTGCCGCCGTGGTCGAGCAGCTGATCTCTGCGGGGGCCACGGTGGACGCGGCCGATAGAAACGGCCGTGGCCTCGGAAGGGTTTTCGGGTCGTTTTGGGAGTGGCTCTGACGAGGTGACGGAAGGGGTTCGTCCATTGGCAGGTGATTTTCGTGCTGTGCTTTGGGATGCTGAGTGGTATTCGTATTAAGGACCTATCCACATTTTTTTGCCTCTTGAAGAAATTTGGGTATAAGAAATGGCCAAACATCAGGGAGATGAGTGGAAAGCACGTGGTCTCAAATGTTCACTGGATTTGGAACTTTTGGTCACTTTGAGCTGGATCCCACATCTTTCCTTTGAATTGAAACGGTTGATAACGGTTGTATGGCATGAACTATGAGCAGAGACATCCTGTCAGAAAAGACGGCAAGTTGGTGGAATGTAATGATTTTCGTGGTTTGTTGCAGACACGTGTTCAGAGTTTGAAAAATGGAAACATATCGGATCCCATGACTATACGCTTTGTTTCTCGGTGGCAGCTGCAGCTGCCCCGCCGTCCGCGTCGCATCCTCGGCGCCCGAGGCCTGACGGCGCTGCATGCGGCGGCTGTGAACGGCCACGCCGCCGTGGTCGAGCAGCTGATCTCTGCGGGGGCCACGGTGGACGCGGCCAACAACGACGGCCGTGGCCTCGGAAGGGTTTCCGGGTCGTTTTGGGAGTGGCTCTGACGAGGTGACGGAAGGGGTTCGTTCATGGGCAGGTGATTTTTTTGCTTTTGCTTTGGGATATATTGAGTGGTATTCGTACTTGTTGTTTAGGGATCCACTTTTGTGATCGGATGGGCCTCTTGAAATTCGGGTGTAAGAAATGGCGAAACATGGGGGACATGAGTGGAAGGCACGTGGTCACCAATGTTCACTGGATTTGTTTTTTTTTTTTTAATGATTTTGAGCTTGATCCCACATCTGTCCTGGAAATTGCGATCGCCGTATGGAACAAATTTTGACAGCAGAGACATGCTGTCAGACAGGATGCAAGCGGTAGAATGTAGTGATTTTATTTTTGTTGCAGGCATGTATCCTGAGATTGAAAAGAAAGAGAAAACATGGAAAACACATGGGATCCTTCAAAGAACAGCTGTGAGGCATTGATTGTCCCAAACTTCACGCGACCAAACATTGGAAACTCAGCATGACAAATGCCGTGAGTGCCATAGGCTTGGGCACCTGGGTCAATCCCATTGGATAATTATGTGATTTTAGGTGTCCAAGGCATGCAAGCATCATATTTTTAAATCAAAATTCATCAAAATTTCCTGTCTTCATGAAATTAGTGTACTGTCCATTTTGTTCAGTTTGGTAAGCTTGAATTATTTCTTAACTTGAGAAAACGGCGTATCTGCATTTGGATAGTCCAAACGTATTCATGAAATAGTTTCTAAACACGCAACACTTGATGTTACGAAAGTCAGATGCAACTGCTGCATGGTAAGATTTACATGCACAACACGATAGAGCCAGAACATATTTGCGATGATTGCTCCTCTTTTGTTTTTCCGCCATGCCTCACGCTAAAACATACAAAAAGTATCAGCTTGGCAGATCTTCTATCATCTTCTATCTATATGACCTATCCACAGTCTTTTGCCCAACCACCCGGAGAAACATCCCATGACTATACGCCTTGTTTCTCGACGGCAGCCGCAGCCGCCCCGCCGTCCGTGTCGCATCCCCGGCGCCCGAGGCGAGACGCCGCTGCATAGGGCGGCTCTGCACGGCCGTGCCGCCGTGGTCGAGCAGCTGATCTCTGCGGGGGCCACGGTGGACGCGGCCAACAACGACGGCCGTGGCCTCGGAAGGGTTTTTCGGGTCGTTTTGGGAGTGGCTCTGGCGAGGTGACGGAAGGGGTTCGTACATTGGCAGCTGATTTTCGTGCTATGCTTTGGGATGTTGAGTGGTACTTACTAAGACCACAAAATGAAGATATTTTCACTTTAGGCACTTAATGAAGATATTAGTAGTTATATGAACTTATTATAGAAGTGTTTTTCTCTATTTTTACTTATTTTCACTTATTTTTCAATGTTTTTTGATGATCAGAATTGATTATAGACGATGCATTTTTCTGTTATATATTTTTTGAAAATAGTTGTCGACCTTTTTGTTTCCTTTGGAATATTTTTTTCTTGCCTTTTTTTCATTGTTTTTTTCATTCTTTTCAGGCATCATCCTTTTAGAAATCACCCTTTTCAGGAATTATCCTTTTCAGGACTTATCCTTTTCAGGATTTTTTTTATTCAGAATGAATCCTTTTCAGGAACTATCCTTAACAGGAATCTTTCTATTCAGATTGATTTCATTTTCAGGAACAATCCTTTTCAGGAATTATCTTCTACAGGAAATGGTTCTTCTACAGGAATATGCGCGGCTGCGAGTGACACAAAGAATCTTGAAGTACATCTGTGGAGAAATCATTCAGAGGCAAAAGGAAAAAAACATATAAAGGATGCTTCTTGGAAAGAACAATTGCTCTTTTGATGTGTCTTCTTCAATTGTATACGACTGCCCAGAATGAGATCTTTCACAACATGAGGCTTCGGTTACTACTTCCAAACTACATAATTCAGGGATGAAGATGGATACCTGATTTGGAAAATATTCTATTATATTTTTTTTGTTGGTAAAAGTTTTAAAGCTAGCTGGCTTGCTTTTTGTTTTGAAAATGTATTTTCTATAATTGCTATTTTTGTTTTATTGTTCATATTGTTCTACAATTTACTTTCTTTTGATTTCGCATACTTTGTTCATACGGTTTTTTCTCAATTTTTGCTGAGATTATTATGATTTGCTACATACTTGGTATTATAAATACTTTGTATATTTACTTATCCTTTTTTTCTCTATAAATATTTTCTGAATTCTCTGAATTCTCTGAATTTTTTGAATTTTTTGAATTTTTTGAATTTTCTGAATTTTCTGAATTTTCTGAATTTTCTGAATTTTCTGAATTTTCTGAATTGTTTTCCTTTTAATTTAAATTGTAAATTCTGAATTTTCTGAATTTTCTGAATTTTCTGGGTTTCTGAAATTTCTGAATTTTCTGAATTTTCTGGGTTTCTGAATTTTCTGAGTTTTCTGAATTTTCTGAAATTTCTGAATTTTATGATTTTTCTGATTTTTCTGAAATTTCTGAATTTCTGAATTTTCTGAAATTTCTGAAATTTCTGAGTTTTCTGAAATTTCTGAGTTTTCTGAATTTTCTGAATTTTTTGAATTTTCTGAATTTTCTGAATTCTATAAACTTTCCTTTCCAGGAAGTATCCTGCAGAGAACTATTCCCTACAAAATTTTTCCTGTTATCCTGCAGAGAACTATTCCCTACTGCCTTTCCAGGAAGTATCCTGCAGAGAACTATTCCCTACAATTTTTTTCCTTTCCAGGAAGTATCCTGCAGAGAACTATTCCCTACACATTTTTTCCTTTCCAGGAAGTATCCTGCAGAGAACTATTCCCTACAAATTTTTTCCTTTCCAGGAAGTATCCTGCAGAGAACTATTCCCTACAATTTTTTTCCTTTCCAGGAAGTATCCTGCAGAGAACTATTCCCTACAATTTTTTTCCTTTCCAGGAAGTATCCTGCAGAGAACTATTCCCTACAAATATTTTCCTTTCCAGGAAGTATCCTGCAGAGAACTATTCCCTACAAAATTTTTCCTTTCCAGGAAGTATCCTGCAGAGAACTATTCCCTACACAATTTTTCCTTTCCACGAAGTATCCTGCAGAGAACTATTCCCTACATTTTTTTTCCTTTCCAGGAAGTATCCTGCAGAGAACTATTCCCTACAAAATTTTTCCTTTCCAGGAAGTATCCTGCAGAGAACTATTCCCTACAATTTTTTTCCTTTTCAGGAAGTATCCTGCAGAGAAATTGTCCCTACATTTTTTTTCCTACCATTTTATTTTCCAAATAGGCGCCTTCAGAGAATTGTTCTTTAGCAGCATATTCCTGTTCAGGAAGGTTTCTTCAGAAAAGTAGTGCTCTGAGACAATATTGTTCCGTCGAAAATCAACATTCCTGTGAATCTATCAAACACACATAAAAATCAAATTTCACTTCTTATCACTTATTTTCGCTTATTTTGGCTTATTTTTGACTAATATTCTACTATATTTGCTTATATTTTCCTTATTATGTTATAAGTTCACCTAAAAATTTAGTGGAACTTATAACAAAATATTTTTGAAAAAACAATTTGAACAAGATATTAGAAGGATAATAGTAACTTATAGTATACTTATAAATTCATTAAGTGCCTAAAGTGCAAATATTTGCATTTTGTGGTCTTAGTATTGTTTAAGGATCCACTTTTGTGATGGGATGGGCCTCTTGAAATTCGGGTTAAAAGAAATGAGATGAAACGAGTAGAAAGCAGAAGGAATCACGTGGTCTCAAAGTGTTCATTGTTTTTAAAATGATTTTGAGCTTGATCCCACATTTGTCTTTGAAATTGTGATCGCTGTATGGTATGGAACAATTTTTGACAGCAGAGCTGCCAGATATTTTCACTGCCAGCGGTAGAATGTAGTGATCTTATTTATGTTGCAGGCATGTATCCTGAGTTTGAAAATGGAGAACACATGGGATCCTTGAAAGAACAGCTGTGAGGCAATGTGAGGCATTGGTTGTCCCAAACTTGACGCGACCAAACATTGAAAACTCAGCATGACAAATGCAGTGCGTGCCATGGGTTTGGGCACCTGGGTCAATCCCATTGGATATTTAGGTGTCCAAGGTACGCAAACATCATATTTGTTTTTAAATCAAAACATCATCAACTTTTCCTGTCATCATTAGATTAGTGTACTCTATTTTGTTCAGTTTGGTAATCGCTAAAGAATCTTATTTCTTGTTATTTCTTAACTTGAGAATACGGTTTATCCGCACTTGGATAGTCCAAAGTCATTCACGAAATATTTTTTGGACACGTGACACATGATGCTGCGAAAGTCAGGTGCAACTGCTTGTAAGATTTGAGCAACACCATAGAGCAAGAACATATTTGCGATGATTGTTCCTCTTGTTTTTCGCCATGCCTCACACTGAATGATGCAAAAAGTATCAGCTTGGCAGATCTGATATTTATGACCTATATCTGATATTATACTATTCCGAATTTTTCCCACCCACCTGGAGAAACATCCCATTGCTAAGCCTTGTTTCTCGACGGCAGCCGCAGCCGCCCGCCTTCCGCGTCGCATCCTCGGCGCCCGAGGCGAGACGCCGCTGCATCGGGCGGCTCAGAACGGCCACGCCGCCGTGGTCGAGCAGCTGATCTCTGCGGGGGCCACGGTGGGCGCGGCCAGCAGCGCTGGCCGTGGCCTCGGAAGGGTTTTCGGGTCATTTTGCGAGTGGCTCTGACGAGGTGACGGAAGGGGTTCGTACATTGGCAGGTGATTTTCCTTCTTTGCTTTGGGATGTTGAGTGGTATTTGTACTTCTTGTTTAAATCATCCCCGTGGCAATTTCCACTCTAGAACTGGTGAACCTGTGCATAGTTTAAACGAAATTCTTAATGTATTGGAATTTTAAAATTGATGTCAGGCTAGTCATTTTATTGTTGTGGGGTTGGGCTAAGCATTTTATTGTAAAGGTAAATACTGATGATTTTTAACATGTTAAAATTCCATTCTCATTTTATTGCAAAAAAATGTTTGCTTGGAGCATTTTATTGCAGAATGGAACCAGTGTTTTTCCAGGATCTTTTTATATCGATTTTCTTGGGCATGTCATTTCAGATCAGCGAATTTTAAAGAATGTCAAGGAATTCTAAGGAATTTTAAGGCATATTAAGGAATTTTAAAGGAATTATGAGGAATATTAAGGAATTTTAAAGGAATTATAAGGAAATTTAAGGAATTTAGAGAGTTTTAAGGAATTTTAAGGAATCTTAGAGGAATTTTAAGGAATTTAAAGGAATTTGACGGAATTTGAAGCAATTTGGAGGATTTTTAAGGATCTTTAATGTTTTAAAATTTCAAGTTTTAAAGGATATTTCAGGAATTTTAAGGAGTTTTTGGATTTTTAAGGAATTTAAAGGATTTTTAAGGAATTGTAAGGAATTGCCACGAAAGAATGCCATCGTATTTTGTTGCTATAAAATGCTATTTAAAAAAACAACACACTAAATATTTGGGCACCTTCACTCTAAAATACCCCTATCTAAAACGGATTTCCTGACCTCTTTTTAAAGATGCGTTTCTGAGGGTCTTCAAAATTGGATGAAATTGGATGATGTTGGATGCACATTCAAGCATGAATTTGGTGGCAAGGCATTTTATTGCAGAGCCAGTTTTCATTGTTTTTGTGCATTTTAAAGCCTGAGGCCTATGCACAAAAGTTAGACCGCTCTAAAACTCCTGCACAGCTTCACATAATGAATTGACACCCCGATTTTAAATCCACTTTTTGTGCTGGGATGGGCCTCTTGAAATTCGGGTTAAAAGAAATGAGATGAAACGAGTAGAAAGCAGAAGGAATCACGTGGTCTCAAAGTGTTCATTGTTTTTTAAATGATTTTGAGCTTGAAACAAATTTTGAAACTGTGATCGCCTTTATGGAACAATTTTTGACAGCAGAACTGTCAGATATTTTCACTGCCAGCGGTAGAATGTAGTGATTTTATTTTTGTTGCAGGCATGTATCCTGAGTTTGAAAATGGAAAACACATGACTTCCTCGGCGCCCGAGGCTTCGCGGCGCTGCATGGGGCGGCTCAGAGCGGCCGTGCCGCCGTGGTCGAGCAGCTGATCTCTGCGGGGGCCACGGTGGACGCGGCCGATAGAAACGGCCGTGGCCCCGGAAGGGTTTCCGGGTCGGTTTGGGAGTGGCTCTGGCGAGGTGACGGAAGGGGTTCGTACATGGGCAGGTGATTTTCGCGTTTTGCTTTGGGATGCTGAGTGGTATATACTCGTACTTGTTGTTTAAGGATCCACTTTTGTGATGGGATGGGCCTCTTGAAATTCGGGGAAAAGAAATGACTCGACCAAACATGGGGGACATGAGTGGAAGGCACGGGGTCACAAATGTTCACTGGATTTGGAACTTTTGATCACTTTGAGCTGGATCCCACATTCGTCCTTTAAATTGAAACGGTTGATAACGGTTGTATGGCATGAACTATGAGCAGAGACATCCTGTCAGAAAAGACGGCGAGTTGGTGGAATGTAATGATTTCTTGATTTGTTGCAGATATGTTCAGAGTTTGAAAAAAGGAAACATATCGGATCCCATGACTATACGCTTTGTTTCTCGGTGGCAGCTGCAGCTGCCCCGACGTCCGCGTCCGCGTCGTGAAACATGGAAACATATCGGATCCTTCAAGTCAAAGCCGTGAGCATTGATTTGCCAGATTTGACCAGAAATTGAAAACTCAGCATGGCAAATTCCATGAGTGTTATTTTTAACCTGAGAAAATGATTTATCTTGATTTATCTGTCCACATCCGCAGGCCTTTTCCGAGTTCCCACGCCAAAACGCCGCTGCCGCGTCTCAGGCCAAACGCCTTACGACCTGGCTGAGGCGAGGGGCCACCGCCAGGTGATGGGCCTCCTGCGCCCAGCCTCTTGGCAGCCGTTCTGGAGCCATGACGAGGATCAACCATGATGGATCACATTACTAGTCTGACCCATGATATTATCAAACATTCTGGATACCATCTGAGTTGAACGATAAACAGACATGAGAAAACATTACCCATCAAGAGTTTGGAAGTTTGTATCATTTATTAATTGACCACCAAACACGAGGATTCAACCATCAAATATGGGGACCTACGTTGCTGTAGAACTACATAGAACTATAATGAACTATACATTAACTACATTTCACCGCCACATATACCCAGCCATTTAACAATTACCTTCCTTGTCGTTGTTTGTTGTTATATGTGCGATGGTCAAGACATGGAATGTTTTCCCATAAAGGGGAATGGTCATCCCATCATTGATAGGGAATTGTATACCCGTTGCTCTCACCCTACTTGTTATACTTGTTTGCTTCGCAGAGGATTGGTGCTCCAAGCATTTTTCCACTGTCCCGTTAGTTGATTCTGGCCCATCAGATTTTCTTGCCTGAACTATACCTGGTGCATCCCCGTATTCCTTGCCCTAAGCACCAGTCGTGTCGGTGCCATGAAAAAACACCGAGGTCTTTGTGGCTCTGCTGAGTGGCCGAAGCTGCCGTTGCACCTGGGCGTTGTGCGTAGATGATCCAAGGAATAACTGCTGACCGTCAGTGGAAAAAGAATCAACCCCCGAAGAGTAAATCAACATTGGTTTTCAATGGGTTTTCAAAGCACTGGGACCGTGGCTGTCATAGATGATACACCATGGTGAAGTACCTATTGATTCGACCTGTTGACCGTCAACATAGTATAGCGTAGTATAGTAACCAGCAAAATGTTGGATTGCCCGGACAAGGGATTCACGTTTTCATCCCACCCCATGACATGTTTCGTGTTGAGGCACCACATTGACGGAGTCAGCAGTCTACTCACTTGTGCATCCGTGTTGTGCATCCGTGAAGAGTGGATCAAACCCAACCGAACTGAGGCGATTCATCACAGGAGCGAACTGTGTTGGAGTTGAAAGAAGAAGCCGAGCGCCTTGGCACAGAGATGAACTCCGGGTTGACTGCCACAGGGCAACAGCTCAGTTGACGTCGGCAACAGATGGCAACAGCAGTTCGTTTCTGACAACGACAGTTGTGCAGGTTGGGTGCAGGTTGCAGGTTTTCGGGATCATAATTTGAGAGGAGCATTTTGAATGGAGTATTTGTCGGACTCTCTTCAAATCACACTCTTGAAACGAAACTTAGACCTCCAAATCATGGAACACCTCATGCAAAGTAGCAAACGCCACTACAGTTGGCACACGCTTGGTACCCGTCTTTGCCACAATGAGTCATCTCATCCAGATTCCGAGATGGATCAGTGGACCCTCATGACCGTGATACCCAATAAGTAAAGATCTGAAATTGTGCCTCTTTACATCTTTTCACGGCTTGTTTCCATATGATGCGCTCGGAGCTAAATTGGTGATTGGGTTCCAGGCACCTGTGACGTGCATCGCTTCAATGATGCTGGTTGCAAGTCTCTGTTACAGAAGGGGCATTTCGGGGTTCATCTGACTGCAGCCTGTTCATGCCTGCTGCACACCCTGTCCAGTGGATCCGAGGAAAAAGCTCGGCGTCAAGATTAAACACATCATTGGACAAAACCACGAGCCATTGCTACTTGGCTGCACAGAACTTTTTGACCCTTCTGCCCAGCTGATGGAAATTGTATAATTATCCTGTCTTATGTGGGAAACAATCTTGTTGGGTATTGGTGGTAGGCCTCTTCATATCATTGGCTCGTTTTTGCATTGCCGGTGCGTATAGATGATTGGCCTGATATTTTAAGGAAAACCCTTGCGAGTTTGAAAGAAGAAATCCCCTGCACGAAGACGTTTTTTGTTGCCTACTCTGCTGCTGGGTGTAAAGCTGGATTAATATTCCATGCCACCAGTAACTTCTGTGACATCAGTTACTGAATTGGATCAGTTTATGGCGGTCTGTACCCAGGGATGAAAGCATGGAGCTTGCTGCAGCGCACATTGTGCCGGGCAATACATTGACCGCCGTGATTTCAGTGCCTTGGAAGCAACATGACTTGCGACGGTGATGCGGGGAAATCGGCACGAGTGCTTGAGACAGTAGAAGCGGCAGCAAGCCAAAAAAAACAACGGCAGAATGCCTTTGCCAGGCAATGTGGATGAGTGTTCACATCCACCATGAAGCCAACTTCAGCACGATGTCATGATGCCATTTTGGTTTTGGTCCCACTGGTTCGTTAATTCTGTGCCAGGTGTTCTCCGCTCCCCATGTCAAGTCTTCTTCTCTCTGCTTCATTTGGACTTGGCGTCTTTCTTAGGAAGATGCTATTGAAGAGGCACATCCTGAAGCACAGGCCGCCTGGGGGGCAGAGGTGCTACTTGGGGGTGCAATTCCACTGAAAACCTGGGTTGTAGTCTGGTAATGTCTGGTAATACGATGGCATTTTAAACTTATTTTATGGTGTATATATACCATGGCATATCATGGTATTTCGTGGTATATATTATGGTATATCATGGTATATGGTATAATATACGGTATATACTATGGTATATTGATGTATACTGCCATAATGCCATAAGGGTCACCCCCAAGCAGACAGGGTCCGCAGCTGGAAGCGGCATTCGAAGTCCTGGTGTCTCAACCTAAGGCGCCTTCTCAAGCTATGCCTGAGGACGGGATGAAGCCCTTGGCAGCTTCAAACATTCATTCGTATTCACGAATCTTCATTTGTTTCATCATGTTTCATCAGTGTCCGCATTTTCAGTCGGAGAGTCTGGATTAAAGAGTTCTGAAGATTTCAATCGATGATTTTCGTGTTTCTTCATCCTAAGTTACAAAAGTCTCAAGAATTGCTGGCAAGGCGGCTCTTTGTTTGCAGCAAACAACAAACAGAGTGACTCCTTGAGGGGAAAAAGCGGATGGGATCGGATAGGACAGCTTCGAAATCAAGGACTTCGGGCACGGCATTCGCCTGATGGCGCAGCAGTCCATCTTTACCGAGTTTAACATAAAGATGGACGTGCTGGAAAACTGGAGCGACTTGAAGAACGTCTCAGTCCTGGAGCAGGCATCTTGTCTAGCAAACTGCCAACCATCATCTTCCTTTGCATCTGAGCCTTGAGACCGGTGGACAGATACATTCCCTAGGCAGGGGAAGTCTTGCAAGGCAAGATCTTGATCAAATACTGGTTGCATCCTATGATCGTGTCATGCACGCTTGTGTATAAACAAGACATGATTAAATGTGTATATGTACAAATATGAACTTAAACGTAAATATCCACATAGCACATATTAACATGTTCCACAGATTTGTTTGCATTCTGTAAAAATGAATTTCCACAAGCTCAGGCACTGCCTGCTGGCCACGTGCCCCTGGCTCGACTCCTCCGGCTCACTCCGGAAGATCGACCCTTTCCAACACCGGTGCAGGCTGGGAGAGGGGCCCAAAAATTGTGAACCACACAAAGGTCCAAGGCTCAGCTTTTCCGTTGTCCGGAATGGTCCGGCTGCGAAAACTGCTGAAAGAGCAACCCAACCTTGTTCTTCTTGCAAGACGGCATGTTGACAGCAAACTTTGCAGCAATTATTGCTAGTGGAGAAAGATAATGCATTTGTAATCATTTGGTACCCAAACCAGTGTCGTTTACCCTGCTTTGCAAAGAATCGACTTGGGTTGGGCACCAGCAGAAACACCGAAACGAGCCTTGAGAAGCACATTTTTCCTTCTGTTATGGGGGCCAGGTGGAGGTGCCGACCTGTGCTGGTGCCGAAGCCTTGTGGAGATCAACGACAGCTGGATGGGAGAAACTGAAAACCGCCTCTTTCGAGGAGACCCGAACAACGGTGGAACTGGACCACTTCTGTGAGCTTGTCATCACTGGGAAGTGTCGTCCACTCAAAGGGCTTGGATTCCTCCATCCGCGTGGTGAGAACGCACAGATGGTCGTAATGCACATAGGCTGCGAGTCATGCGAGGACGGCTTGGAGCTGCTTTGCTCAGACCCAGATGTGCTGCAACACTTCCGGAGATGTTCTCCCAACCTTCAGCTGGGAACCTTTCGCCATGACGAAGACCTCGAAATCAAGCAGCCTGGCCGAACATCAAAGATGAAAATCCGGTTCCACCGCATGCCACTGATGTCACGGGAACTCGATGCCCAGTCGCAGCAACACTTTGATGTGGAGATCGAAGGCGAGAACCACTGCTTTAAGATCCGGCCAGAAGAGGCAACAGCGGCAACAGCTGCAACAGCGGCAACAGCTGCAGCAGCTGCAACAGCGGCAACAGCTGCAACAGCTGCAGCAGCTGCAACAGCGGCAACAGCTGCAACAGCTGCAACAGCCGCAACAGCTTCCAGATCTGTTGGGCCGCATGCTGCTAGCTCTACACAGGCGTTGCTGGGAATGGTGTTGTTTTGTTGGACCATGCTTGCCCATGACTGATTGGTAGTGATTGGGTATTCAAACTCCAAGTCAAGTCCATTCAGCGGATCCCTCAAGATCCGCTCGAAATGGTGCCTCTGCAACCTTCAGCTCCCCTCCCCTGATCATCCTTGATCCATCTCCTGATACATCTCCATTCCCCTTGCCATAGGTCTGTTTTATCACTGCATGCAACACACATGCCATGGTGCCAGGCATCGTCAGCTGCCATGACCGGTGACATGGAATCAGCAGCAAGGAGCTCAGGACCTTGCAGATGGATCCAAAGAAATTGTATAGATTTGTATAGCACTACCCAACAAGACAAAGATGAGATGCAAACCAGTTATAGTAGAGTCATCTCCGAAAAATGGCAAGTCAGAACCTACCCATTTCAATTCCCCAAAGGCACCAGATTTTCCACGCGATCCGTCAGCCAGGCAGCATCGGCTGCAGTTACGGCATCAGTGCCGACCTCAAGACGGGATGGAGTTCCTGCAGAAGGGCCAAGGTCGTTGCTATTCACTTGTGGTCTTGGTTTGATTTTGAACATCTTTAGCACAGGCTGATACATTTTGGAGATTTTGAAGTGCATTGAAGTACGACTTGGTGTGATTCGGACATATTTTGAAGAGTTTAGTTGAAATGCATTGAAGTACAACCTTTTTTGAGGATGGACATATTATGGAGTCAAAGTTGTGTCCTTTGAGCGTTATATTCAGGCAAGGGCAGCAACTTCGGTTTTGATCAGTCCATACATGGGATCTTGTGTTCGTGGTCTTTTGAGTTCTTTGTCTTTCAGTGATATTTAAGACCGACCTGGGTTTCTTTGTGTCTGATGCTTTCCAAGCTGCCGATTCTGAGGTGGTGGTGGCATCGAGAGATCGAGGGCATTTAATGCTCAGCGGACGCTTCAACAGTGATGCGATTCTCGTTTGAGACACGGGAGAAGGATCAGCATATGATCAGCATAAAGATCAGCGGATATGACATGACTTTTGGAGTACTTTTGGGTTAAATATCGGACCTGCCTTGGACAGTTGTTCGAAGGTGAATGCGCAACACCGCCACGGGATCGACGGCTGAGGATTGTCGCGTACATGAAGGAAGTGAAGAGTCAGCTGGAGACCAGAGATGTCGCAGTGTTCATGGTCGATGCGTCAACTGGCCAAGATTTTGGCCAAATGACATGCGAAGGATTGTACCGTGCCAAAGGCATGGTAGCTTTCTGCACCTCTGAGTACGGTGCGTATACTGGTGCGGGCTATGAAACGTTCTATGAACTCGAGTTCGCTCACCAGAATCAATTGCCCTTGTTTCCCATCAGGCTGTGTGACCAGTGGCCACCAGCACCACTGAACAACGAACGGGGCACTTGCCAAAATAGATTCGTGTTTAAGAAAAGCCTCGTATTTGCAGAAGATCGACAGATGACCAACGCCAGAGGCGTTGCTGATAAGATTGCTGCATCTGTCGCGCGCTTGGGCATCTTCCGAACTAAGCTGCAGCTTTAAAGATTGTGAGAACACGCTATTGGGCTTGGGAAATCGATGCGGAGTGCTGGTGCATGTCCTGGCTGGAATGTTATCAATGTCTTTGGTAGTCGGCTGTACAGTAAGAACACCTGAAAGTGCCCTGGTGCTCTCTGGAAAATCAATATGCTGGTAGGCCAGCAAGATCCCAAATTCTTGAGAAGGAAATCCTTAGTATACCCGTAAATGACCCGTCAACAAAAGATTTCCATTGCCTCCCATTGCTGCACCTGTTTGCTCGTTGGGTGATGGAAAGTGAAGTCGTACACGACCAGTGGAAGTTGTCGGTCAGCCAACGCCTTGTGAAGATTTGTGATTTGTCAAATCTCTGCAGCTTTGGACGGGTGCTCCTTTGGTCACTATATACGTCATTATCAAAAATTCGAAGGAACACTCTGAACACACCTTTCATGTCAACTTTCCTGTGGATACTTTCGCATGGCGCAGTTTGCAGCTCCAGTCGCAGACGATTTGGGAAGAAAACAGTTGTGCATCGATCATAAGTGGTGAAGGCAACAAAAACTCATCACAGTAAGAGAACATGCATATTTCCAGAGTGGCTGCAATAAGGTTTTCACCAGTCACACATTTAGGGCATGGGCTTCATGAAATAAGTTAGAACCCATGATAGATAGCCAATTCGAAGGATGACCAACCAGTTACCAACCGTTTACCAACTATTTTGATGATCTTGGTGCCCATCACCGTACTACCCATGGGTGGCAAAGTCCACCTGGCCCATCAGCCTCAGCTGTCGCATGTGCGATTTTTCTCCCAGGGCAAACATTTTTTTTGTTGAGACAAATGTTGATTTCATGGTTGGAGAATTCTTATGGTATTTTTGTTTGAAACGAGTAGGTGTGAGATTGTAGTTGGTAGCTGGTAGCTGTTTGAGTTTCTTAAGCAATGTTTGTGGGGTCCATGGAAGAGACAAGATGCATAAAATGCATAAAACTGAGTTTTCATAGTTTTCATTGGCATTTCATTGGAAATCAAAGGACATCATCTTTGATCAAATAGGGAAATTATAACCAACCACCATCACGGATGTCTTAAACAACGCTTGTGTAACGGTTGAGTTGAAAAACTGATGTTGGCCACATTCCTGCACTCTTCGGCTGAGCCGAGGCCGTGAGGCCGTGCTGATCTTAAAGGACTCGATTTTGGGCGAGACGATTGGTGAAGCTCCGTGAAGCGTGGTTCAGGTCATGTTGCCATCAGCCCGATGTTTGATCACCCGATGTCCCGATGGAATATGCCTATACAGCTCAATCTTAGGGAGTCGGACTTACAATGGAAGAAAAGTTCAGTTTTTTTGAAATTCAACAGAAGAACCAAAAGGCTAGAGCTGGATCCTTCAAGTCAAACGTGATCGAAGTCAAATCTTGGCTCATTTTATTGGATACATACTCGTACGTATACATTGGCGATCGAAGTCAAATCTTGGCTCATTTTTTGGCATACATACTCGTATACGTACATGTTCATCATTGCAAGGCGATCGAAGTCAAATCTTGGCTCATTTTCTTGGATACATACTCGTATGTAAATGTTCATCATTGCAAGGCGATCGAACTCAAATCTTGGCCCATTTTCTTGGATACATACTCGTATGTAAATGTTCATCATTGCAAGGCGATCGAACTCAAATCTTGGCTCATTTTCTTGGATACATACTCGTATGTAAATGTTCATCATTGCAAGGCGATCGAAGTCAAATCTTGGCTCATTTTCTTGGATACATACTCGTATGTAAATGTTCATCATTGCAAGGCGATCGAAGTCAAATCTTGGCTCATTTTATTGGATACATACTCGTACTACGTAAATGTTCATCATTGCAACTATAGTGCACTATTTCAATATTATTATGATTCATGTTGATTCCAATTACCATTGATAGTTGATATCCTTAGTTGAGACTGGTAATTGACCTCCAAGGAGCATGGGCTGTGGCAGCTCGGCAGTTCGGCAGCCAGACGTGTGGCAGCTCGGAGATCGGGACGGTGCGAAGCGTAAGAAATCGTAACGAGCCCGCAGCTAAGCTTAAGAAACCGACATGCATCAACCGGGTGGTTTTTTTCCGGTTTTCAGGGTTTCATCACCCGCCTTAGCAAGGCCGCAGCCGCCGTGGCAACAGACCCTAAGGTGCCAATTGTTTGGGGTGTGGAGATTGGGACAGATTGGGCGGGATTTTTTCAGGCACAAATAATCGAAGGAAGTTTAGAAGTGAAACTTCCGACAATATGGACAGTTGAAAAGCAGAGGTGAGAAGAGTCAGAAGAGACAAGATCAGAAGAAAGAAGAGGTAGATGCGCGAAAAGATAGGAAAGTCGCGATTCACTGTGTTTTTTCCAATGATTTGTGGCTCCGGAGGGTCGAAAAGTAGGCTCGCTAAAGCGGCGGGTGCGGAGCCAGCTAGCCAGATGAGAGATGAAAAATTGCACGCCGTTGTGGCGCGAAGCACATTTCCAAGTCAAAATGTACAAAACACACCAGTGTCGGACCACTTTTGGAAGTTGAGATGTCGAAAAAGTGCACGCCGTTGTGGCGCGAAGCACATTTCCAAGTCAAAAGGGTTAAAAACTGGCGGTCTCGGACCACTTTTGGAAGTTGAGATGTCGAAAAAGTGCACGCCGTTGTGGCGCGAAGCACATTTCGAAGTCAAAATGTACAAAGCACACCAGGTTCGGACCACTTTTGGAAGTTGAGATGTCGAAAAAGTGCACGCCGTTGTGGCGCGAAGCACATTTTGAAGTCAACATGTACAAAACACACCAGGTTCGGACCACTTTTGGAAGTTGAGATGTCGAAAAAGTGCACGCCGTTGTGGCGCGAAGCACATTTCCAAGTCAAAATGTACAAAGCACACCATTCTCGGACCACTTTTGGAGGTTCAGATGTCGAAAAAGTGTCGAAAAAGTGCACGCCGTTGTGGCGCGAAGCACATTTCGAAGTCAAAAGTGTAAAAAACTGAGGGTTTTGAGCCTTTTTTGACGTGAAGATGTCGAAAAAGTAGACACTGCTTAACTTAACTAACTTGACTAACTTAACTAACTTCACTAACTTAACTACCCTAACTTCGACGACAACAGCAACAGCAACAACAACAACAGCAACAACAACAACAACAACCACAACAACTACAACAACTACAACTACAACTACAACTACAACTACAACTACAACTACAACTGCACAACAACTACAACTACAACTAGAACTACAACTACAACAACAACAGCAACAACAACAACAACTACTACAACTACAACTACAACTACAACTACAACTACAACTACACAACAACTTCAACTAGAACTACAACTACAACAACTACAGCTACAACAACAACAACAACAACAACAACAACAACCGCAACAACAACAGCAACATCAACAACTACAACTACAACAGCAACAACAACAACAACTACTACTACTACAACTACACTACACAACAACTACAACCACACAACAACTACAGCTACAACAACAACAACAACTACAACTACAACTACAACAACTACAACTACAACTACAACTACAAAACAACTACAGCTACAACTATATGACTGCAACTACACTACACTAATTACATTGCACCACAACTACAACTCCACTACGCTACAACTACAACTACAGTTTCAGTACATCACACTACATCCAGCAGTTGTGGGTGAGGTGACCACTGCAACCATTGCAACCACTCCAGCAAACACAACCCCAACCACCTTCCGGTCAATCAGTGGATTCGCTCTGCCACCCGTGATTCACAACAACCAACGTCTCCTATAGGTTTCCTATTCTGAAACTTCCGCCACCGCCTTGTGCGGTACTACTGGTAAGAAACAGGAACAGAAATATTCAACCCTCATGGAGTATTTCGGTTTTCAATTTCAACCATTTTTTGATATCCTAACCATATTGAAGGCAAATGTTTCTTCAAACTTATCCATATTCTTTGACAGAAATAGAGATTTCTTAGATGCACTACCACGCGAAAAGAAACATGATAGAGCATCATGCGTTGTATCACTTACTGGGTACAGAAGCCTTTACAAGGCCGCAGCCGCCGTGGCAATAGACCCTAAGGTGCCAATTGTTTTGGGTGTGGAGATTGGGACGGATTGGGCGGGATTTTTTTCAGGCACAAACAATAAGAAACAGGAACAGAAATATTCAACCCTCATGAAGTATTTCGGTTTTCAATTTCAATTTTTTTGATATCCTAACCATATATAAGGCAAATGCTTCTTCAATCTTATCCAGATTTCTTGACAGAAACAGACATTTCTTAGATCCACTACCACGCGAAAAAAAACATGAAAAACATGATAGAGCATCATGCGTTGTATCACCTACTGGGCAAAGAAGCCTTTACAAGGCCGCAGCCGCCGTGGCAATAGACCTTAAGGTGCCAATTGTTTGGGGTGTGGAGATTGGGACGGATTGGGCGGGATTTTTTTCAGGCACAAACAATAAGAAACAGGAACAGAAATATTCAACCCTCATGGAGTATTTCGGTTTTCAATTTCAACCATTTTTTGATATCCTAACCATATTGAAGGCAAATGTTTCTTCAAACTTATCCATATTCTTTGACAGAAATAGAGATTTCTTAGATGCACTACCACGCGAAAAGAAACATGATAGAGCATCATGCGTTGTATCACTTACTGGGTACAGAAGCCTTTACAAGGCCGCAGCCGCCGTGGCAATAGACCCTAAGGTGCCAATTGTTTTGGGTGTGGAGATTGGGACGGATTGGGCGGGATTTTTTTCAGGCACAAACAATAAGAAACAGGAACAGAAATATTCAACCCTCATGAAGTATTTCGGTTTTCAATTTCATTTTTTTTGATATCCTAACCATATATAAGGCAAATGCTTCTTCAATCTTATCCATATTCTTGACAGAAATAGAGATTTCTTAGATGCACTACCACGCGAAAAGAAACATGATAGAGCATCATGCGTTGTATCACTTACTGGGTACAGAAGCCTTTACAAGGCCGCAGCCGCCGTGGCAATAGACCCTAAGGTGCCAATTGTTTTGGGTGTGGAGATTGGGACGGATTGGGTTGAAAATTTCCATCAATTTCTTGGTGCGGAAATGTGGTGCCAGCTCGGCTTGCAGATTCTGCTGAAGTGTCAACAATTGTCCTCGTTGTTGGTAAACCTGCCATGGTCCAACTGATCCGTTCAGCCAGCCGGTCTGTGTGAATTTCGATCTTGGGGCGATGTTCTGTTCAAACAGCTCTGGACAGGGTATCTTAAAACTTTGCAAAACAATTGCCTGCGAAACAGTTGGCATTCTTGCCCGTCAAGGCAGACAAAGCTGCAGCTAAAAACTGTCAAGACCTGAGATGTTTGAATTCAGGAGGCTACAGGTAGCGTTAATTTTGTTGTCGAGGGTTCTATGTGTTGGGAATCTTGCGCCTCAAGATCTGCTTTGTCATCCTCATCCCCAGGCCGGAAAAAGAACAAAATCCATGCAGCGCTGGGAATCAAAAATCCAAAGAGCTCCAAAGAGCTTGGTCTGGAGGAAATTATTTTATCATGTCTTATATATAATGGCTTCTTTATTTCAGCCTTTCCCGTCCTGGATGGGGTATCTACGCGGGTATCCTTGTTAACGAGCCGTGCCCCTTCCAGCAGCCCTCAAGGGGTTGGGCTCGTGTCCCGAGGCGAGGACATCCATCAGGCCGCCAAGGAGGGCAACGTGGGTGCCGTGAGGCACTTCCTGCCGGAGAGCCTGGAGACCACGGATTTTATGGGCCGCAGCCTCGGAACTGAAGTTGGAAGCTACGAAGCATATCCACGCCTTCCATAAACTTGGTATGTTTTGGTTAAGCAGTCAGGCTTGGTAAGGAGAGTGTTCCACTAGACCGACTTGGGTCCTGACTGCGTGGCACCACCAAATTGCTGTGGGGGCACTTGAGAGTCCAAGGCAGAGTTTCATTTTGCTACCCTCGATTCGTGTATATGAACCATGTTCCGGGCTGTAGACAGTCTTGTGCGGTTACGTTGCGTGTCTTTCTTTTGCCAGATGGTGTTTGATGGTCAAGCCATCCCTCACACAGAATCGACCTGGCCGGCCGCCAACAGAAGTGCCAATCCCATCTAATCCCACACAAATCTTCTCCCACATGCTTTGGAATTCTGTTAAGCGCCTGTCTTCAAGCCCATTCTACTTTTCAAAAATCCCAGGCCTAGTGTCAGTACTTTTGGCAGACAGGCAACTCGACCGCCACAACGATGCAGTTGAAGAACAAAAGCAGAATTTTATCCAATTGCGGTTTTCAGACTTCTAGGATGTCAAATCAAAACTGGCTACATTTGTGCCATGTTCGGCTGTGGTTTTCGGGTGATGTTGGCATTTTTAGTCACCTAGCATCCACAACAACTTGAAAAACCGTTTCTGAGTTCACCGGGACACAATCCTTCCCAACCCCTAGTCACAGTTTCTTCATCGGCAACAGCTCCCTCCTCTCCTTGTGTTTCTCCTGGCATTCTTTTGTCAGATAGCGCGCGGTGGGTTTCAATCTTTCTGAGTGAAAGCTGATATTGATGGATATGTTCGGACTCGGGCTCTCAAGTCGAGCACAATAGACTCCAAATAACGTCAACATCGGATTAATAACCCTGCCACAAGGTCAGATGGACCTTGTAAGATCTTTCCTAGTGTCCACCCTTAATAAACGCCCTCTGAACCATAATATTTTGGATATGGCGTGGAATCTCTAGAAGTCAATTAGATTTTCATAGAATATAGAATTCCATTTGATTTGATGAGATTTGATTGCCAAAACTTCATGGGCACTAGAAGACCCTAATGGATTTGATGAGATTTGGTCGCTAAAACCTCATGGAACCCATAAGATTCCATTGGGCTTGATGAGAGTTGATTGCTAAAATCCCGTGGATCCCACAATATTCAAGTGGATTTGATGAGTTTTGATTGCAAAAATCTCATGTGCCCCATTGGGATTTCCATTGGATTTAATGAGATTTGATTGCTAATACCTCATGGACCCCATATGAGCCCATTGGATTTGATGAGATTTGATGGCTAAAACACAAGATTCCATTGGATTTGGTGAGATTTGATTACTCAAATTTCTTGGATCCCACAGGATTCCATTGGATTTGATGAGATTTGATTGCTCAAATCTCATGGATCCCACAAGATTCCATTGGATTTGGTGGGATTTGATTGCTAACATCTCATGGGTCCCATGAGATTTTCATTGGGTTTGATGAGATTTGATTGCTAAATCTCATGGTTCCCATAAGATTCCATTGGGTTTGATCAGATTTGATTGCTAAAAACTCATGGGTCGCATAAGATTCTATTGGATTTGACGAGATTTGGTTGCTAAAACCCATGATCCCATAAGATTCCATTGGATTTGAGAAGGTTTGATTGTTAAGATCTCATGGATCCCATAAGTTTCCATTGGGTTTGATGAGATTTGATTGCTAAAACCTCATGGATTCGATTTTCCATTGGAATGAATACCCTCCTCTGTACTACCAGTTTTTTTTCCTGGGGGCTCAGTGCGCTTTTTTAAAAACACTATTTTCCAAAAATCTAGCAGACAGTGGGTGAGGGTCCCGGGGCATGATATGGGGCCAGGAATAAAATATCATACCAAAAAAGGCCCAGATTTTTTTTCCTGAAAGCTTCCTGACGTACAGTGACGGGAAATCAATTTCTGCCTGTTGTGATTGAGGGGGGGTTGATCTATCAGTCTGTGTATGTAAGGCATCAGGAAATCAATCATGAATGACTCTGATAACGGGTAAGTTTGTAGAATTCCCAAGGTTATTAGCCAGGACTCTGAAAAACTGCGAGCTGTCAGCCGGGAAGTCAGGTGCCAGGAATTCATTTTTTTCCGTATCAGATTGAGGGGGGGGAAGATATGGCATGTTACCAACGCAAGCATCCAGGAAATATTTTTTTTACTTGGATACCAGAGGGGTAAATTTATTGGATGTTGGACGTTAGGGGTCATAATTTTAGACTGATTTTTTTCTAGGACTGTACCCCACGTTGGAGTACAGACGGGATTAATGAATGGTCAAATCCAAAGAAACAGCATTAGGGACATTGGGGGTTGATTAATAAGCGGAACCCTTGTTATTATTAATGGGGGACATGGGCTCACATTTGGGAAATATTTTTTCAGATTTTCAATGATCAGCACTGATGGGTTCCCATGGATCCCATAAGATTCCATTGGACTTGATGAGATTTGATTGCTAAAATCACCTGGATCCCATAAGATTCCATTGTGTTTGATAAGATTTTGTCGCGGAAATCCCATGCGTCCCAAAAGATTCCATTGAATTTGATGAAATTTGATTGCTAAAATCCTTTGAGTTTTGCAGGATTCCATTAAATTTGATGAAATTTGATTGCTAAAACCTCATTGATACCACAGGATTCCATTGGATTTGATGAGATTTGATTGCTAAAACTTCATGGGCCCCATATGATTCCATTAGATTTGATGAGATTTGATTGCTAAAATCTTAGGATCCCATAAGAGTCCATTGGATTTGATGAGATTTGAGTGCTAAAATCTCATGTGTCTGAGATTGATGAGTCATGATGAGAAATAAAAGGATTGGAAATACACAATTTTGGATTAAAAAAAATTGGATTTCAGCACTGGAGGTTGATTAATCATGTCCAAGCCAAAGAGTTTATTAATCCAAGGGGGATCACCTATTTTTTAATTAAAAACAATTGGGGCAATGGAAGTTGTTTAATCGGGGCAATGGAGGTTGTTTAACCGGGGGTTTGATTAATCCTGACTTGACACTGCCTTTGTCTTCAAATTTGTACCAATCAGATAGGTTTCAACCGCGCACAAACCTTCCTTTTCCCTGTGTAGTGGACAGTGTGAGTTTCCCTTTGCAGAAATACTTGTCCAATGACTTTCATGCCTGCCGCCAAGCCGCGCCTCGCATTGTATTTCTCCTCCGTGATACGGGTTACATTTTTGCAGTGGTTGGCTCTCATCCGCAACAGCTTCCCCCCTCACAGCTCCCATCTCCCTTGCGTTTCTCCTGGCAATCTTCTGTCAGATAATGTCCTGATTTCACTGCACTTGGATAGTCCTAAGTTATTCACGAAATATTTTCTAGACTTCTAGACATGCGACACGTGATGTTGAGCAAGTCAGGTGCAACTGCTGGCAAAATTTAAACAACACGATAAAACAATAACATATTTTGCGATGATTGCTCCTCTTGTTTTTCGCCATGCCTCACACTAAAAGATACAAAAAGTATCAGTTTGGCAGATTATTGTTTATGACCTATATATATATATATATATATATATTTATTTATATATATAATATACATACATTTTTTTGCCCCACCACCCCGACAAACATCCCGCCCCGCCGTCCGCGTCACATCCTTGACGCCCGAGGCGAGACGGTGCTGTGTCTGGAGGCTTTACAACGCCAGGCCGCCGTGGTCGAGCAGCTGATCTCTGCGGGGGCCGCAGTGGACGCGGCCGACGCATTTGGCCGTGGCCCCGGAAGGGTTTCGAGTTGTTTTGGGAGTGGCTCTGGCGACGTGATGGAAGGGGTTTGTACATTGGCAGCTGAATTTTTGTTTTGCTTTGGGATGTTGGATGGCCCTTTCTGTTTAAAGATCCACTTTTGTGCTGGGATGGGCCTCTTGAAAGTCGGGAACAAGAAATGAGGTGAAATGAGTAGAAGACAGAAGGAATTATGTGGTCTCAAAGTGTTCACTGTTTTTTTTGTTTTTTTCAATATGATTTTGAGCTTGATTCCGCATCTGTCCTTGAAATTGCATCACCGTATGGAACATATGCTGTCAGATATTTTCACTGCCAGCGGTAGAATGTAGTGATTGAATTTTTGTTGCAGGCATGTATCCTGAGATTGAAAATGGAAAACACATGGGATTCTTCAGAGAACGGCTGTGATAGAGCAAGAACATATGATGTTTTGCAATGCGACACATGATGTTGCGAAAGCAAGGTGCAACTGATTGTAAGATTTCGATTAAACAAACATTGACATGTAGACTGATTTGCGATGCTTGCTCTCGTTTTCCCCCCAATGCTTCACACCAAGAGTATCGGCTGGCAGATCTTCTGTCTATGACCTACCCACAGCCCAACCACCCGGAGAAACATCCCATTGCTATATGCCTTTCTCGACGGCAGCCGCTGCAGCCCCGCCTTCTGCGTCGCATCCGAGGCGCCCGAGGCGGCACGGCGTTGCATGCAGCGGCTTGGAACGGCGACGCTGCCGTGGTTGAGCATGTGATCTCTGCGGGGGCCACGGTGGACGCGGCCGACAACGACGGCCGTGGCCCTGGAAGGGTTTTCGGGTCGTTTTGGGAGTGGCTCTGACAAGATGACGGAAGGGGTTCGTACATGGGCAGGTGATTTTCTGCTATGCTTTGGGATGTTGAGTGGTACTCGTACTTGCTGTTAAACGATTTGCTTTTATGATGGGATGGACCTTTTGAAATTTGGGTATAAGAGATGACCAAACATGGAGGGGGAAAGACATGAGTGGAAAGCAGAAGCAAGCATGCTGTGGCAGAATGTTCACTGGCTTGAAGTGTCTTGTGATTTGGGTCTTGATCCCAGTTTAACTTCAAATTGAAATAAATTGAAATTGTTGTATGAAATCCACATTGTCTATACGAGATTTTCCTGCTTGAGTGGACAATAGTTATGGGATGTTCTGGGTTTGCCACGTTTCATTCAGGCATGTCTCCATGAGGATATGATATAGAGGCCTGTCCTGATTTCACTGCACTTGACATGAAACACTATACATGCGACACATGATGTTGTGGAAGTAAGCTGCAACTGCTTGTAAGATCTCGTTTAAGCAAACATGTAACATGACTGATTTGCGATGATAGCTCTTGTTTTCTCCCCAATGCATCACACCAAGAGTATCGGCTTGGCAGATCTTCTGTCTATGACCTATCCAAAAATATTTGCCCAACAAACCCGGAGAAACATCCCATTTGCTACGCTTTGGCTTTGTTTCTCCACGGCAGCCGCAGCAGCCCGCCTTCCGCGTCGTATCCTGGGTGCCAAGGCAAGACTGCGCTGCATCTGGCGGCTGAGCTCGGCCATGCCGCCGTGGTCGTTCAGCTGATCTCTGCAAAGGCCACGGTGGACGCGGCCAACGACGACGGCCGTGGCCCTGGAAGGGTTTTCGGGTCGTTTTGGGAGTGGCTCTGGCGAGATGACGGAAGGGGTTCGCACATGGGCAGGTGATTTTCGTTCGTTGCTTTGGGATGCTGAGTGGTACAGGGTCAGGGTGGTAACTTGTGCCGCGGTTGTCTTCTTGTGCCGCAAACGGTGTGCCGTTGGGAAGTCCATGCATTCTTACTGGATGAATCAATTGTTTGTGGCATTGATATTTCTAACACTTTGCAGGGGCACACGTGTTTTTGAGTCATAGTCGTTTTGAGATAGAAACTCATGGGGATGGCTTCTCAATAGCTTGGCTCACACAGAAGAGAGAACAGTAGAAGAGAAGAGTAGAGTAGAAGAGACTATATACAGAAGAGTAGAGAAGAGAATCGAATTGAAGAGAAGTGATTAGAGAGGCGTAGAGCAGAGAAGGGAAGAGTAGAAAGGATCCCTGCCGCCTTGCCCTGCTGCCTTGCCTTGCAAAATCCCGATCTCGCACAGATCTCGTAAAGACCTCGTAAGGATCTCGTAAAAATCGCGCTGTCAAGCAGTACCTTGAAAATCTCAGTGCCATTGTGCTGCGTTGTTTAGTGCTGCAATGTTCGTGGTGTGCCACTGGGAAAAGCGTTTTGTGAGTATATTTTTCCCAGGGTAGGAATGAGAGTCCGCCAATGAGAATGACATGTAGAACTCCTGGTCTTCCAGGGTCAAGTTGATGGTGTGCCATGCGGTTTACAACGCTTTGTGTCAGGTTTAAGATAGATAAAGAACGGTACAAAGCGTTGCAGTCCGCATAGGAATTTCATGGTGTGCACATATGTGGATAGGTGTCGGTGTGCCGTGGTGATTTGGCTATGGCACAAGTTCTTTAGGTTGTGGGGTAAGCTGTGTGCCATGCGGTGGGGTAAGATTGTAGGTTGTGGCGTAAGTTACCGTTCGTACTCGTATTTGCTGCTTAAATAATTCACTTTTGTGCTGGGATGGGTGTCTTGGAATTTTGGGTATAGAGATGACCAAACATGGAGGGGGAAAGACATGAGTGGAAAGCAGAAGCAAGCATGCTGTGGCAGAATGTTCACTGGCTTGAAGTGTCTTGTGATTTGGGTCTTGATCCCAGTTTAACTTCAAATTGAAATAAATTGAAATGGTTGTATGACATATGCACAACCAGGGGTTTGAAATCCACATTGTCTATACGAGATTTTCCTGCTTGAGTGGACAATAGTTATGGGATGTTCTGGGTTTGCCACGTTTCATTCAGGCATGTCTCCATGAGGATATAGAGGCCTGTCCTGATTTCACTGCACTTGACATGAAACACTATACATGCGACACATGATGTTGCGAAAGTTAGTTGCAACTGCTTGTAAGATCTCGTTTAAGCAAACATGTAACATGACTGATTTGCGATGATAGCTCTTGTTTTCTCCCCAATGCCTCACACCAAGAGTATCGGCTTGGCAGATCTTCTGTCTATGACCTATCCAAAAATATTTGCCCAACAACCTGAAGAAACATCCCATTGCTACACCTTGTTTCTCGACGGCAGCCGCAGCAGCCCCGCCGTCCGCCTCGCATCTTCGGCGCCGAGGGGTGACGGCGCTGCAATGTGCGGCTCAGAAAGGCCATTGCGACGTGGTCGAGCAGCTGATCTCTGCGAAGGCCACGGTGGACGCGGCCAACGACGATGGCCGTGGCCCCGGAAGGGTTTTCGGTCCATTTTGGGAGTGTCTCTGGCGAGATGACGGAAGGGGTTCGGCTATGCTTTGGGTTGTTGAGTGGTACTCGTACTTGCTGTTACAAGATCCCCTCTTGAACTTCGGGTAAAAGAAATGAGATGAAACGAGTAGAAAGCAGAAGGAACCACGTGGTCTCAAAGTGTTCACTGGATTTGTTTTTTTGATGATTTTGAGTTTGATCCCACATTTGTCTTTGAAATTGTGATCGCCGTATGGAACAAATTTTGACAGCAGAGCTGTCAGATATTTTCACTGCCAGCGGTAGAATGAAGTGATTGTGAGATTGAAAATGGAAAACACATGGGATCCCTGAAAGAACAGCTGAAAACGGTTTATCCGCACTTGGATAGTCCAACGTTCTTCATGAAATAGTTTCTAGACACGCGGCGCATGATGCTGCGAAAGTATGCGAGGTGCAACTGCTGGTAAGGTTTAAGCAACACAATAGAGCAAGAACATATATTGCGATGATTGCTGCTCTTGTTTTCACCATGCCTCACACTAAAGCATACAAATAGTATGCTTGGCGGATCTGATATTTGTGACCTATATTCAGAATTTTGCCCAACCGCCTGGAGAAACATCCCATGACTATATGCTTTGTTTCTCGACGGCAGCTGCAACTGCCCCGCCGTCCGCCTCGCATCCTCGGCGCCGAGGCCTGACGGCGCTGCAATGTGCGGCTCAGAAAGGCCATTGCGCCGTGGTCGAGCAGCTGATCTCTGCAAAGGCCACGGTGGACGCGGCCAGCAACGACGGCCGTGGCCCTGGAAGGGTCGTTTTGGGAGTGTCTCTTTTTTGCAGCCTGATACTCTGAGTGCCGCGCGCGAAACTCAGCAAGGCAATGAAAGCACAATTAATCAGCGAAAGCAGGAAATGATCTGAGGACAGAGAAGGGAATATCAATGGGTCGTTTTGGGAGTGGCGCTGGCGAGATGACGGAAGGGGTTCGTACATGGGCAGGTGATTTTCTGCTGTGCTTTGGGATGTTGAGTTGTATTCAATTCGTACTTGCTGTTAAAAGATCCACTTTTGTAATGGGATGGGCCTCTTGAAATTCGGGTAAAAGAAATGAGATGAAACGAGTAGAAAGCAGAAGGAATCACGTGGTCTCAAAGTGTTCACTGGATTTGTTTTTTTGATATTTTTTTTGAGCTTGATCCCACATTTGTCTCATTTGTCTTTGAAATTGTGATCGCCGTATGGAACAAATTTTGACAGCAGAGCTGTCAGATATTTTCACTGCCAGCGGAAGAATGTAGTGATTTTTTTGGGTTGCAGGCATGTTTCCTGAGATTGAAAATGGAAAACACATGGGATCCCTGAAAGAACAGCTGTGAGGCATTGATTGTCCCAGACTTGACGCGACCAAACATTGAAAACTCAGCATGACAAATGGCGTGAGTGCCATGGGCTTGGGCACCTGGGTCACTCCCATTGGATATTTAGGTGCCATCTTTTTTTAAAACAAAATTCATCGAAATTTCCTGTCTTCATGAGATGAGTGTGCTCCATTTTGTTCAGTTTTGGTTTTCCCGGAAAGAATCTAATAATATGTCTATTTCTTGTTCTTTCTTAAGTTGAGAAAACGGTTTATCCACACTTGGATAGTCCAAAATTATTCATGAACTAGTCTCTTAACACCTGACACATGATGTTGCGAAAGTCAGGTGCAACTGCTGGTAAGTTTTCAGCAACAGGATAGAGCAAGAACATATTTTGCGATGATTGCTCCTCTTGTTTTTCGCCATGCCTCATACTAAAGCATACAAAAAGTATCAGCTTGGCGGATCTGATATTTATGACCTATATTCAGAATTTTGCCCAACAACCTGGAGAAACATCCCATGATTATACGCTTTGCCTCTCGACGGCAGCCGCAGCTGCCCCGCCGTCCGCCTTGCATCCTCGGCGCCGAGGCCTGACGGCGCTGCAGGGGGCTGCTTGGAACGGCCATGCCGCTGTGGTCGAGCAGCTGGTCTCTGCGAAGGCCAAGGTGGACGCGGCCAACAACGACGGCCGTGGCCCTGGAAGGGTTTTCGCGTCGTTTTGGGAGTGTCTCTGGCGAGATGACGCAAGGGTTTCGTACATGGGCAGGTGATTTTCTGCTATGCTTTGGGATGTTGAGTTGTATTCAATTCGTACTTGCTGTTAAAAGATCCACTTTTGTAATGGGATGGGCCTCTTGAAATTCGGGTAAAAGAAATGAGATGAAACGAGTAGAAAGCAGAAGGAATCACGTGGTCTCAAAGTGTTCACTGGATCTGCTTCTTTTTGATGTTTTTTTTGAGCTTGATCCCACATTTGTCTCTGAATTTGTGATCGCCGTATGGAACAAATTTTGACAGCAGAGCTGTCAGAATCTGCACTGCCAGCGGCAGAATGTATCCTGAGATTGAAAATGTAAAACCGATGGGATCCCTGAAAGAACAGCTGTGAGGCATTGATTGTCCCAGACTTGACGTGATCAAACATTGAAAACTCAGCATGACAAATGGCGTGAGTGCCATGGGCTTGGGCACCTGGGTCAATCCCATTGGATATTTAGGTGCCCAAGGCACGCAAGCATCATATTTTTAAATCAAAAATCATCGAAATTTCCTGTCTTCATGAGATTAGTGTACTCCATTTTGTTCAGTTTTGGTAATCCCTAAATAATCTTATAAGATTTATAATTTATATTTATTGTTATTTCTTAAGTTGAGAAACGGTTTCTCCGCACTTGAATAGTCCAAAGTTATTCATGAAATAGTCTCTATAAACACGCGGCGCATGATGCTGCGAAAGTATGCGAAAGTCAGGTGCAACTGCTGGTAAGATTCAAACAACACGATAGAGCAAGAACATATTTTGCGAGGATTGCTCCTCTTGTTTTTCGCCATGCCTCACACTAAAACATGCAAAAAGTATCAGCTTGGCGGATCTGATATTTATGACCTATATTCAAAATTTTGCCCAACCACCTGGAGAAACATCCCATGATCATACGCTTTGCCTCTCGACGGCAGCCGCAGCTGCCCCGCCGTCCGCCTCGCATCCTCGGCGCCGAGGGGTGACGGCGCTGCAATGTGCGGCTCACAAAGGCCATTGCGACGTGGTCGAGCAGCTGATCTCTGCGAAGGCCACGGTGGACGCGGCCAACGACGACGGCCGTGGCCCTGGAAGGGTTTTCGCGTCGTTTTGGGAGTGTCTCTGGCGAGATGACGCAAGGGTTTCGTACATGGGCAGGTGATTTTCTGCTGTGCTTTGGGATGCTGAGTGGTACTCGTACTTGTTGTTTAAGGATCCACTTTTGTGGTGGGATGGGCCTCTTGAACTTCGGGTAAAAGAAATGGGATGAAACGAGTAGAAAGCAATGAATCACGTGGTCTCAAAGTGTGCACTGGATCTGTTTTTTTGATGATTTTGAGCTTGATCCCACATTTGTCTTTGAAATTGTGATCGCCGTATGGAACAAATTTTGACAGCAAAGCTGTCAGAATCTGCACTGCCAGCGGGAGAACGTAGTGTTTTTTTTGTTGCAGGCATGTATCCTGAGAGTGAAAATGTAAAACCGATGGGATCCCTGAAAGAACAGCTGTGAGGCATTGATTGTCCCAGACTTGACGCGACCAAACATTGAAAACTTAGCATGACAAATTGGCGTGAGTGCCATGGGCTTGGGCACCTGGGTCAGTCTCATTGGATATTTAGGCGTCCAAGGCACGCAAGCATCATATTCTTAAATCAAAATTTATCAGACTTTCCTGTCTTCATGAGATTAGTGATTAGTGTACTCCGTTTTGTTCAGTTAGGGAATCCCGGAATGTGTTCTTAACTTCACAAAACGGCTTACCCGCACTTGGAAAGTCCAAAGTTATTCATGAAATAGTTTCTAAACACGCGGCGCATGATGCTGCGGAAGTATGCGAAAGTCAGGTGCAACTGCTGGTAAGATTTAAACAACACGATAGAGCAAGAACATATTTTGCGAGGATTGCTCCTCTTGTTTTTCGCCATGCCTCACACTAAAACATGCAAAAAGCATCAGCTTGGCGGATCTAATATGTTTTTCAGAATTTTGCCCAACCACCTGGAGAAACAGCTTTGTTTTTCGACGGCAGCCGCAGCTGCCCCGCCGTCCGCGTCGCATCCTCGGCGCCGAGGCGAGACGGCGCTGCATGCGGCGGCTTGGAACGGCGAGGCCGCCGTGGTCGAGCAGCTGATCTCTGCGGGGGCCAAGGTGGACACGGCCCGCAAAGACGGCTGTGGCCTCGGAAGGGTTTCAAGTTGCTTTGGGAGTGGCTCTGACGAGGTGATGGTAGGGGCAAAGGGGTTCGCACATGTGCAGGTGACTTTCGTGCTTTGCTTTGGGATGTTGGGTCATACTTGCTGTTAAAAATCCACTTTTGTGCTGGGATGGGCCTCTTGCAATTTGGGTATAATATAAGAAATGACCAAACATGGAGGGGGAAAGACATGAGTGGAAGCAGAAGGACCTACGCCTTTGCAGAATCTTCAATGGCTTGAAGTGTCTTCTGATTTGGATCTTGATGCCAGTTTAACTTCAAATTGAAATTGCGATTCACTAAGCACTTCATCGGCTGCTGTGGATTTTAAAAACTTAGAAGTTGATGTGGTGGCGTGCACCCAACATAGCATGGCCACTGCGCAAGGATGAAACTGCCATCGCAATTTGGCTCAAGAGATGGCTCAAGGGCGAGACGAAAAAGTCTTGCCTAACAGCTGCGCGCTTCAGTTGTTGATCCACGGGTTATGGGCCCAACGTTGGATCACTGCTGACATGGAGTTGTCTTCAAGGCGAGAGTCATCGGTGCAGCGCTGTGCAGCTGCTGCCGCGGCAGACTGCGCTGATGATATGATTCAGCGGATGCTTGATGAAGCAGCTGGGTCTGGCCATGGGGATGAGGGGCAAAAAGCTTTAGAACCCAATACCAATAGAAGTGGAGGGGGAATGCTTGATGCTCTAGGACTTGTGGGCCCACCGCTGTCTTTCTCTCCAGGGGAACCTCCAATGCTAGTGGGTGAGACAAGGGTCAAAAACCTCGAGGTGAAACAAACTGTTGAAAACACGCCTGGTGTCAAAAGGGCTGTGGTGCCAGAGCAGCAGTCTGGGAACCCACCAAATGAAGGGGCCGGACCTACCACTGAACCAGTGCAGGGGATTGTGAATGAACATAGTCCTAGGGATGGTGCTGGTAAACAAAGGGTCTAGCTCGGAGTCTGGTAGGATAGAACCCAGGAAACATGTCGCCGTAGAAGCTCATAGCCTAGGCCGGGATGTGTCACGGAGCTCACGTGTGAGGGGCTCTGGTGTTGTCCAAAACGTGTCACAGGACTCACGCATGAGGGGTTCTGGTGTTGAAAATGTGTCACAGAGCTCACGTATGAGGGATTTTGATGTTGAAAATGTGTCACAGGGCCCCACTGAAAAGGGTTCTGGTGTTGTGTGTGAAACCGTGCCTCAGGGCTCCAATGTGAAGGGTTCCGGAGTTTGTCAAAGGTTTCACATAGGTGAAGGGCCTCATGTTGTTGTGGTTCCAGAACAAATGGGAAATGTCGTGAATCCCTTCTGGAGTGAAACTCAGCAGCGTGAAGCCGTTCGAGAAGCTTTCGGGCCTGGGTACGATGTGAGTGCCCTGGGTTTGCAGCCGGGTTCAAATGCCTCAAACCCCCAAAAGTTCATGTGGGACAAAGGCGAAATGTTGATGTTGAAATGGATCCAATTGAGTTGTTCCGATTGCGTTGTTTGAGGGAAGCTGAAGAAAAGTTTCGCCAAGGTTTGTTGAATATGGGGACAAGTGCCAAGGAGTCAAGGGCTGAAAAGCATGGGACTGAAAAAGGGTCGTATGGTTCACAGAGTTCATATGCTTCTGCAATGGATTTCCAAGAGCCAGTAATGCCCAAATCTCATGATGTGGTTGAATCCCGAACGGTTCCTGAACAAAATGTGAGGGTTGTACCCGGATTGTACCCAAACCAGTTGTGCCATGCAGTTGTGTCAGTTGTGTCAAATGTTGTTGAACCGTTTGTGCCACCCCCTGGACCACCACCACCACCGTCTCCTCCAAGGTTGTTGAATAGTGGATGTGGGTTAGGATCTGTGACACCTCCAATCCCACCCGCCTTGCCGCCATTTCCGGCATCTGTGTCAGGAAACCTGCAAAACTCAGGTGGATTTGGTGAAAATCTTTCCGAAAATCTCAGGACGGTGGAGCTTCCGAAATTGTCGATAGATGCCACTGCTCTGCAATTTGGCGATTGGCTTAGCATCATCGATTCTCTCATGGGTTACTTAATTGTCGTACTCATCGGGGGATTGGTGGACCATGGTCAGGGGAGCTGTTGATCAATGTTACAGGGATTGGTTGAATGTAGGCCCACTTGAAAGGCTTGGGCTTCGTCCACAAGTGGATTCTAGGGTTCAACTTTGGCCCCGAACGGAAAGAATGGCTTTAGCCATATTTGGGAGCCATTCCTGATCCAATCGAAGAAGAAGTGATTTCAGCTCGAAAACTGACCACTGATCAAGTGTTGTACAAGTTGTGCATCACCTTCCAGCCGGGGGGTGTGTCTGAACGCACAAAACCGTTGCAGAACATTACGGATTCAAAATGTGGTTCCGATGTTCATGAAGTGTTGGACTGGATTCGAACCTGGCGACGGTTTGTTCAAAGAGCCAGGGAACTCCAAGTCACTTTGCCTGATGGTTTGGTTATGCTAGGAGCGCTATGGAGCGCTGACCAAATGTATTGATGTTTTGAGTGGGAAATCTCACAAATGGCCTATCGTCTCAACATGATCCGCCAGCAGTTGAACTTGGATCAGATGCCAACAGCAGAGACGATCTTGAGCTACTCCGAGCATCTGCTAGCTGAAGCGGAAGAGCTGACTCTGATCGTGCCCGTGAAGGCAACTTCGGCCGTGAAAGCTGCTGCTTTGAGTGTGTCGCCACCACCAGGGATCCCTCAAAAATCCCCAAATCCTCAAAATGAATCGGACCAGAAGTCCCGGAACCCAAAAAAGAGGGCTTGTAGGTATTGGATGAGTGAAAAAGGGTGTTCAAGGGGTGATCAATGTCACTTTGGTCATGCCAATTTGGATCCCCACAGTAATCGATGTTTCAATTGTTCTGCTGTTGGGCATTCCCGACGTGATTGTCATTTGAAAATTGCAGGGTCTGACTCTAAGCCTGATCCCACCAAAAAGAGGGTTGCCAAGGTGTCCAAACCAAGTGGGAAAGGGGCCCCTGAAAAATCTGGGAAGGGTTTCCTGAAAAAACTACTGGGGATGTTGCCGCTGCAGAGAAGTCTCTTGGTTCCGAAACCGTTTGCAGGACTGGGCCGGAAACTGGGAACGGGGGAGAAGACACCCCTGAAAGGGTCACTGGGCTTTTGAGTGAAGCCGCTACTCTCTTGAAAACCTTCAAACCGGCTGCCACAGCTGTCAAAATCAAAAGGGTGAATGGTCCTGATGGACCCACAGGTCTCATGGATGGTGGGGCAACAAACGCTTTGAGAAGGGGAACCCCTCAAGAACTGGCTGATGCTGACTCAGTTGTGGTGGATTTAGCACATGGGTCGGTTGAACTGAAACAACATGCTTTGACGGGGACCATTCTCACCGAACATGCGGTTGAACCCATTGTGCCATTAAGGGGATTGATCGACCTTGGTTTTGTCATCAAGTGGAGTACCCATGGTTGTGAAATTAAACACCCTTCAAGAGGAACCATTCAGTGTTGGTTGCGAAATGGTTGCCCTGTTTTGTCTGAAAAGCATGCATTGGGTTTGATTCATGACATCGAATCCCTGGAGTTAGCCAAAAGAATCCCTTCCGAAAGTCCCGAAACCGTGTCTGAGGCTGCACATGAATGGTGGGTCAGGGGGTTGAAACTCCAGGGGCCCACTTGCCTTGGAATCAGGCTCAACGGCACCGACACGCACAAGCTAAGGCGATTGTCATTCACCTGTTTGCTGGTGAAGCATCTAAGGCTCAGACGTCGAGATGATTACCTTGGACGTTCGAGATGGTCAGAATGTCCACGATGCTGCAACTTGGGCCTATCTTTGGCGATTGGCTGCATTTGGTCGTGTCATAGCTGTATTGGGGGGACCACCCTGTCGTACTGTGAGCAGATTGTTGGAAAAACGCCAGGTCCACCCAGGTTGCGCTCAAGAAATGGACCTGAAAGGTTTGGCTATGAACACATCAACGAATCCCAACAACAAAAGACTGACAGTGACACTGCGTTGTACTTGAAACAGTTGGGGTTGTACATGCATATGCTCATGGGTCTTGGGATGGTTCGAAATGGCCCCACATGAAACATGTTGCGAATCGGGTTGGATTTATGTTGGAGTCCCCTCAAGACCCCAAAACTTACCTCCAAAATGGTGAAGGGGATGAATCTGCGAGTTTTTGGGCTTGGGATGAAACACGGGACTTCCTTGAAACTTTCCAATCAAGTGGAATGGAATTGATTAGTTTTGATCAGGGTGCGTTTGGACATATTCAAAAAAAAACACAACATGTATGACCAATCTCCCTGACATGAAAGAATTAGTATTAGATGGTTGCCGCTCTGGTGAACGAGAACGACATTTGGCGGTCAACTTGGATGAAAGGTTGCATCAAACTGCCTCTTGGTCTCTTTGGGCACCGGGGTTGAGAGCTGCCATCAAAACGTCTTTGTTGGTTTTGGTTGAATGGTATGGGATTGCACCACCAACATTGTCCAAAAGTTTGGGGTTGGATCAATGGACACAACACATCAATCAGGGACATCAACCATACCGACGGGATTGTAGGACATGTATCCTTAACATGGCTGGGTCAAAACCACACCGACGTAGGGAACATGCTGGGAGTTCTGCTTGGACCATGTCTGTTGATTTGGTTAATCTTCCCAAAGCACGTGACCTTGCTACCAAAAAAGTTGTGAAATATGGTTTGGTTGCCGCAGCCCTTGTTCCAGTGTTTGACTCCCCCGGGGGACGAGACGTCAGCTGCCGAAAAGCCAATTGTTGCTGGCGATGTGTCTCCCGATGCTCCGCGACCAATGGAAACTGTGGATGCATGTTGGGGGGAGGGAATGGATGCAAAAGAATACTCCCTTCAGGGGGACGAAAAACTTGAGGAAAACCCTCTAGGGGATGATGGTGAAAACGTGAAAGACCATGATGGGGGTGATGGAAACGAAACTGACTATGAACCTTCAACCATGGGTGAAGATGAATCAAAAGAATAGGAGTCAAAAAGTTTTGAGAAAGCTGTTGGAGAACTTTCTCAACCTGTGAGAGTGCGCCATGTCACACTCATGGAACCTGTTGAGTCAAGAAATGTGAAACATGTGATGCCTGCGATGGATGCTTTGGTGACTATAGGATGCGATACATGGGTGTTTGTGTCACACGTATCCATTCTGACAGGGTGAAGGTGATTGTGGCTATGGCTGCGCTGGCTGTGGCGTCTACAACTGCTGCGCGGGCTGACGTGCGGATCGCTTGCGCCACTGCTGCCGCTGCTTGCGCTGGATGGCTTGCGTGCAACTGGCAGCCGGCACCTTCAGCCAAAGGTCGATCCAACGAGATCTGTCTAGACGGGAGGGAGGTGGAAAAACCATCAAGAGCCATTGGCCTCAAGAAAACAAAAGATGCCAGGCGAGATGAACCGGCCAAAGAAAGACCTCCAAGGGAAAATGAACCTGGAGCCTGGAAGCGTAAACCCCCAAATGTCAATTGAAAAATGTGCGGAATCTCCAAGGGAAAATGAACCTGGAGAAACAGTTTAGGGATGATTTGGGATGAGAACCCTGAAGCAGTTGGGTGGGATCACCGAATCTATGAAAGTCAAAAGGCTTTTTGAGATTGTAACCCTGAAAATGGCCCTCCTTTTGGGGATGTCGTGGCAGAAACCAGTTGTGGCATGGCGCACAAGCAGTCTTAAGTCCGCTGGTAATGACTCTTTCAAAAATGCTGTTGAAATGTTGCAGCCACTGTTGGTTGCTGAAAACCACTGCCCCACGGGCTGCCCCAAAGTTCCGGCCGTGCGATTAGCTGCCATGGCCCCTAAGATGTCTAAGCCTGCGCCGCCGCTGCCGTACTCCTGCTGCTCCTTCAGTCCCCAGGTCCTACCAGCCGCTGGTCGAAGAATGGGCTCTGGTAATGAGGAGGAGCCCTAAGAGCCGGGCTACGAAAACCATGTTTTTCTGGCTGAACTTTTGTGAAGTTCCGCAGCGAGCTGCGGGGGGGAGTGCGATTCACTAAGCACTTCACCAGCTGCTGTGGATTTTAAAAACTTAGAAGTTGATGTGGTGGCGTGCACCCAACATAGCATCGCCACTGCGCAAGGATGAAACTGCCATTGCAATTTGGCTCAAGTGATGGCTCAAGGGCGAGACGAAAAAGTCTTGCCTAGCAGCTGCGCGCTTCAGCTGTTGATCCACGGAAATAAATTGAAAAGGCTGTATGATATATGTGTAACCAGGGGATTGAAATCCATATTGTCTATAAACTTTTTCCCGCTAGAGTGGACAATAGTTATGGGCCATGGGTTTGTTTTGTTTCGTTCAGGCATGTTTCCATGAGGACATAGGGCCTGTCCTGATTTCACTGCACTTGGCATGAAACACTATACAAGCCACTCATGATGTTGCGAAAGTATGTTGCAACTGCTTGTAAGATCTCGAGTAAACACACATGTAACATGACTGATTTGCGATGATTGCTCTTGTTTTTCCCCAATGCCGCACACCAAGAGTATCGGATGGCAGATCTTCTGTCTATGACCTATATCGAAAAAACTTTGCCCAACAACCCGGAGAAACATCCCATAGCTATGCCTTGTTTGTCGACGGCAGCTGCAGCTGCCCCGCCGTCCGCCTCGCATCCCCGGCACCGAGGCCTGACGGGGCTGCACTGCGCGGCTCAGAAAGGCCATGCCGCCGTGGTCGAGCAGCTGATCTCTGCGAAGGCCACGGTGGACGTGGCCAACAACGACGGCCGTGGCCCTGGAAGGGTTTTCGGGTCGTTTTGGGAGTGGCTCTGGCGAGATGACGGAAGGGGTTCGTACATGGGCAGGTGATTTTTCGCTGTGCTTTGGGTTGTTGAGTGGTACTCGTACTTGTTGTTTAAGGATCCACTTTTGTGATGGGATTGGCCTCTTGAAAATCGGGTAAAAGAAATGAGATGAAACGAGTAGCAAGCAGAAGGAATCACGTGGTCTGTTCACTGGATCTGTTTTTTTTGATGATTTTGAGCTTGATCCCACATTTGCCTTTGAAACTGCGATGGCCGTATGGAACAAATTTTGACAGCAGAGCTGTCAGATATTTTCACTGCCAGCGGTAGAATGTAGTGATTTTATTTTTGTTGCAGGCATGTATCCTGAGATTGAAAATGGAAAGCACATGGGATCCTTGAAAGAACAGCTGTGAGGCATTGATTGTCCCACACTTCACGCAACCAAACATTGAAAGCTCAGCATGACAAATGGCGTGAGTGCCATGGGCTTGGGCACCTGGGTACGCAAGCACCCTATTTTTAAATCAAACTTCAATATTCATCAAAATGTCCTGTCTTCATGAGATTAGTGTACTCCATTTTGTTCAGTTTGGTAATCCCGGAATTATTTCTTTATTTCACAACACGATTTTTCCGCACTTGGATAGTCCAAAGTTACACCCCCGAAATCCAACGTGGAACTGCATGCTATTCCTGAGGTCTCCTAACATGAACCTATGGTACGGTCTCAAGTGGATTTTGTTCCCCAGGAAATCATGCAACTAACTTTTTCAATAAAATCATTCAAAAACTGACATGGAACCCAATGCAGGCCCAAACTGAGCCCAAACTACACCCTGAAACAGCCAACATGGAATTTGAACAAGTTATCACAAAGCGATCTGCAACCTTGAAGGGTGATTTGAAGGTTAACCTGGAACCCAAGTGGTTCTTAAGTTAAGGCGTTTTCCTTGAAAATTCCATGTTAGTGACTTGCGGGCGACCCTACTTGTCACTTCGTATTGCGCTCACGTTTTAATAACTATTCAGGTCCCGGGTCTGTGGTGGGGAAAGAACTGAAACCAAAACACCTCCAAGAAAAGGTCGTGACTTATTTTTGGATATATGTGTTGGGTTCCGTGTTCGTCGCACAACCTTCCAAAGTAAGCCGCAACAGGCAGAAAACCTGACAGCGAAGAGAGAAAAAGCAAGCGACATGAAAGGATAGCAAATATCAGCAAACTAAGAAAGAGATGGAAAGAGCAACAAGGAGCAAAAGAAAGACAAACGTGACAATTTTATGGTGAATTTGCTGGAGTTGGTCCCCCCGAGAGTTAAACTTGTTGGGTTCCATGTTGGTTTCCGTTGTGGGTTCGACGACCACACCCTTGGGACACAGCGGGTTGATGGAGGAGAGCCTGACCAGGGGGAGCATACGGGGAGACAAAATGTGGCCACCAGTCCAGATTCAGCCCAAAAACGTCCACATGGCACATTTTCGCCTTTACCAAGTGTAAAGGAAAACTAGGATCCCTAAATCCATTCAAACCCCGGATTTTTTTTTACTTGTTGTTTTTTCTGCTGCTCACTTCCTCCAACGAAATGCCCATTCAGGTTCCAAGTTAGCTTTCGGGTTCCTGGAGTCTGGTATGCAAAGAAAACACCAGTCCAGATTCAACCCAAGCATGCTGAGGAACACATTCACCAAATGCCACTAGACCTAAGAAAACTTGGGCTGAGTGGCGCAACATGCTCCACAATATGCTTCCCCATCCTACCCCAGGGGAAAATGTAGACATGGGTGGGGAAGAATGATAAGGTTCATGACAAGGTTCAACTTATTTTTTTTAAATATTGGTTGGGTACCATGTTGGTCTCGGCTGCAAACCAAAGCCACACATGCAAAGCCTTGCTGCAAGCGACGGCTCACGGAGCACGGACAACGGGGTTTTGTTTTGTTGGCTTCCATGTTGGTTTCCAGCTTTCGGGGAGGTCACCATGGGAAAGGTACCGTGGGGATCCATGTTGGGTGCCATGTTGGCTTCCATGTTGGGTTCCAGCTGCCAGGGTATGGGGGAGGCCACCATAGGAAAGATACCGGTTGGGTTCCATGTTGGCGTCATGTTAGTTTCCAGTGGACTGGATGTTCCCGGCGGACCTTCCCCTGTTGGCTCGAAGTCCTCGGGCCGTTGCGTCTCCCGTTGGGTCAACGTAGAAACTTGAAACCCGGTTATTGTCCCCGTGGCTTTGGCACCCGGTGGCCCCGCCCACACCTTCCGCTGTTGGGTCGAAGTCCTCGAGCCTCCGGGCGCCAAAGCCACTGGGACACTCCCGGGTTCCAAGTTAGGTTCGACGTCGACGTGGACCCAACGGGAGACGCAAAGGCTCGAGGACTTCGACCCAACAGGGGAAGCTCCGGGAGTGTCTCAAAAGCTTCTAAAGCTTCCTTCTATAGGAGCTGACGAGGGGGTACGCATACATATCCTAAGTGGCCGCGTATGCAAAAGTCAAATGAAACATACACATTAACGTTGGTGGAACGTATGTGATACGTATGTGAAGTGTATGTGCAGCGCAAGTGAAAACATATGTGAGCCGTATGTGAAACATATGTGAAACATATGTGAAACATATGCGAAACACATGTGACACATTTACGACTTTTGGGACTGGATTGCGATGTGTTTATGTTTTGCTTGTATACGTTTGTGAATTTATGTGTTTTTTTAATGTCGGAGGAACAATAAGAAATTATATATTTTGTGCAAATCACGCAAAATAGGGCTTGATTTTGGAACGTGCGTAAAGAAACATAAGCAGAAACATAAACAAAACGAACGCACACACATTTTGTAACGTTTGTGTTTGTACATGTTTATATGGTGTATGTTTTATTTATGTCGGGAGAATAATAGCTTTATTTTGGGCAAATAAGAGCTTATTTTATCGATTGCACAAAAGAAACGCAAACAGAAGCATAAAGAAAACAACTAGTAGCCACAATTTCTGAATATTATGTCGGGAATATGCGTTTTGTTTGCGTATTTGAAGCCTTTTATGTATGCTTATGCGCAGGCCAGTCCAAGACGGGCTCTATTGTGCAAGCCTTTGAAACCCTGCTAAGTCAACGTGGAACCTATAGCTTGGAACCCGGAAGTGTCCCAGTGGTTTTGGCGCCCGGAGGCCCTGCCCGGAGCTTCCCCTGTTAGCCGTTGCGTCTCCCGTTGGGTCGACGTCGAACTTAACTTGGAACCTGGGAGATAGTGTCCCAGTGGCTTTGGCGCCCGGAGGCCCTGCCCGGAGCTTCGCCTGTTGGGTCGAAGTCCTCGAGCCGTTGCGTCTCCCGTTGGCTCGACGTCGAACCTAACCTAACTTGGAACCCCGGAGTGTCCCAGTGGTTTTGGCGCCCGGAGGTTCTGGCCGGAGGTCCTCCCAACGGGAAGGCTACAATGAGAAAATGAAAAATGTTACGTTTATGGTGGGTACATGGGAAAAAGTATTTGTATAACATATCAAAAATTGAACATGAATATATAGTTTGAATATGTTTTTGTTTACTCTTTATGTTTTGAATATGTTTACGATGTGTTTGTAAGATGTGTTGAGGATATGTTTTTTTTTCTCCGTGTGTGTGTGTGTTGACATGTAGTGTATGTGTTTAAATTTGTCTTCAAAATTTGTACTTTGGAATTTATCTTGGACAAAATGATTCATTGAGTCAAAAGAGCTATCATGTAGCATCTTACATCCATCAACCACCACAAAGAGCATAATGGTTCCGAATTCCCCGTGTCAGCTGCCATGGCTAACATGGAGCTTTTGGATGAGCACTCTCTGGCAGCTTGTGGGGTTCTATGCTAGGATGCCATGCAGCCAAAAATTGTGCAAAAATGTCCAAATTCACTAGCACCAACATGGCACCTACCTGGCACTTATCCCGCTCATGAATTTTAACATGGGCGCGCTAACATGGAACCAATTTTTTTTGCCCAACGCTAGTTGTCGGGAGAGTATTCATGAAATAGTTTCTAAACACGCGACACATGATGTTGCGAAAGTCAGGTGCAACTGCTGGTACGGTTTAAACAACACGGCGATAGATCGAGAACATGTTTTGCGATGATTGTTCCTATATGTTTTTTTCCATGTTTCACGCTAAAACATACAAAAAGTATCAGCTTGGCAGATCTACTATTTATGACCTATCCAAAAATATTTGCCCAACAACCCGGAGAAACATCCCATGACTATACGCCTTGTTTCTTGACGGCAGCCGCAGCAGCCCCGCCGTCCGCGTCACATCCTCGGCGCCCAACCACCTGGAGAAACAACTATGTTTTTCGACGGCAGCCGCAACCGACCGCCTGGCATCCTCAGCGCCGAGGCGTGACGGCGCTGCATTGGGCGGCTGAGAACGGCGAGGCCACCGTGGTCGAGCAGCTGATCTCTGCGAAGGCCACGGTGGACGCGACCAACGACGACGGCCGTGGCCCTGGGTTTTCGGGTCGTTTTGGGAGTGGCTCTGGCGAGATGACGGAAGGGGTTCGTACATTGGCAGGTGATTTTCTATGCTTTGGGATATTTTGGGATGCTCCGTAGTTGTTATTTAAGGATCCACTTTTGTGCTGAGATTTGTTTCTTGAAACACGGAGGAAATGAACGGAAAGCAGAAGCAAGCATGCTGTCGCAGAATGTCCAATGGTTTGAATTGTTGTGTGATTTGGAGTTTGATCCCAGTTTAACTTCAAATTGAAATAAATAAATGTGAAAGGCTGTATGATATATGTACAACCAGGGGTTTGAAATCCATTTTGTATACAAATTTTTCCCGCTAGAGTGGACAATAGTTATGGGATGTTCTGGGTTTGTTACGTTTCATTCAGGCATGTCTCCATGAGGATATACAGGCCTGTCCTGATTTCACTGCACTTGGCATGCGACACATGATGTTGTGGAAGTAAGCTGCAACTGCTTGTAAGATCTCGATTAAACACACATGTAACATGACTGATTTGCGATGATTGCTCTCGTTTTCCCCCAATTCCTCACTAAAAGTATCAGTTTGGCAGATCTTCTATCTATGACCTACCCAGAATTTTACCCAACCACCCGGAGAAACATCCCATTGCTACACCTTGTTTCTCGACGGCAGCCGCAGCAGCCCCGCCTTTTGCGTCGCATCCTCGGCGCCCGAGGCTGGACGCCGCTGCATTGGGCGGCTGAGAACGGCCACGCCGCCGTGGTCGAGCAGCTGATCTCTGCGGGGGCCACAGTGGATGCGGCCAACAACGACGGCCGTGGCCCCGGAAGGGTTTTCGGGTCGTTTTGGGAGTTGCCCTGGCGAGGTGACAGAAGGGGTTCGTACATTGGCAGATTATTGCATTGCTTTGCTTTGGGATGTTGACTGGTATTTGCTGTTGAAATAGTCCACTTTTGTGCTGGGATGGGCCTCTTGGAATTTGGGTATAAGAAATGCGATGAAACGAGTAGAAAGCAGACGGAATCGCGTGGTCTCAAAGTCACTGGATTTGTTTTGTTTTGTCTTTTTAATGATGTTCAGCTTGATCCTACATTTGTCTGTGAAATTGTGATCGCCGTATGGAACAAATTTTGACAGCAGAGCTGTCAGATATTTTCACTATCAGCGGTAGAATGTAGTGAGTTTATTTTTGTTGCCAAGCATGGAGGGGGAAAGGCATGAGTGGAAAGCAGAAGCAAGCATGCTGTCGCAGAATGTTCAATGGATTGAATTGTTTTGTGATTTGGAGTTTGATCCCAGGGTACCTTCAAATCGAAATATATTGAAACGGTATGAATTATGACTATGAGCAGAGGCATGCTGTCAGAAAGGATTGCAAGTGGTGGAATATATATATAATAATGATTTCAATGGTTTGTTGCCGGCATGCACAAATGCATGAAAACTCAGCGTGCCAAATGCCGTGAGTGCCACGGGCTTGGGCACCTGGGTCAGACCCATTGGATATTTAGGCGCCCAAGGCATGCAAGCATCATGTTTCATAATTTAAACTCATCATTTTTTCCTTTCACCATGAGATTAGTGTACTCCATTTTGTTCATTTGGTAGTCTCTGAAAATTGAAGTTTCATCTCATTTCATGTTATTTCTTAAATTGAGAAACTTGCTTATCGGTCCAGATTCACTGGACTTTAAAACACCAATTGCCGCCACCGCGACTTAGGCCGAACGCCCTACGACCTGGCAAAGTGGTATGACCAGCGCCAGGTGATGGGGCTCCTGCACCCGGCCTCTTGGCAGCCGTTCTGGAGCCATGTCGAAGGTCAACCATCATGGATCAGGTATCTCATATTACTAGTCTGACCGGTGATATTATTAGATATCTCATACAATCTATCAATCATTCCGCATACTACAGGAGGTTGTATCACTTTTTAGTGAACGATAAACACATGAGAAATCATGAGCCATCAAAAGTATTTGGAAGTTTGTATCACATGTTGATTGACCGCCAAACATGAGGATTTAACCATCAAACATGGGGATCTGCATTACTATAGAACTAAATTGCACCGCCACATATATCCAACCATTTAACAATGACCATACAATGACCTTTGTTGGTGTTGGTGTTGTTGTTGTTGTTGCTGTTGTTGTTGTTGTTGTTGTTGTTGTTGTTGCTGGTGTTAGTGTTGGTGTTGGTGTTGTTGTTGTTGTTGTTGTTGTTGTGGTTGTTGTTTTGTTGTTGGTTGTTGGTTGTTTGTTGTTGGTTGTTGGTTGTTGTTTTTTTTGTTGTTGTTGCTGGTTGTTATGTGCCATGGTCAAAACATGGAACTTTTTCCGATAAAGGGGAATGTTCATCCGATCATTGATAGCGATTCTTGTACCCATTGCTCTCACCACACTTCGTCATGGAGGATTGGTGCTCCAAACATTTTTCCACACTGTCCCGTTACTTGATTCTGGCACTTTAGATTTTCTTGCCTAAACTATACCTGGTGCATCCCCGTTTTTTCTTGCCCTAAGCACCACAGTCGGGTCGGCGCCATGAAAAAACACCGAGGTCTTTGTGGCTCTGGTGAGTGGCCGAAGCTGCCGTTGCACCTGGGCGTTGTGGGATGATCCGAGGAATACCTGCTGACCGTCAGTGGAAAAAAACAACCCCCGAATAGTAAATCAAAATTAGTTTTCAGTGGGTTTTCAAAGCACTAGGACCGTGCTGGCCGCCATAGATGATACACCATGGTGAAGTGCCTAATGATTTGACCTGTTGACCGTCAACATAGTATAGCGTAGTATAGTAAAAGAAAAATGTTGAAACAACATGAATAATTGGTTTTCAAGGCATATGGATTGCCCGGATAAGGGTTTCGCGTTTTCATCCCACCCCATAACATGTTTCGTGTTGGGGCACCACGTTGACGGAGTCCACACTGTTGTGCATCCTTGTTGTGCATCCCAAAACTAGAATAGGTTAGGTATGTTGGACCATGTACATGGGGATGCGGGGGCTGGCAAATTGTAAGTTACATTTTCTTGCCCCTCACCTATCCACATTTGGGTTGTTTGGAAACGCCTCCATCAACCTTGTTTTAAATGTTGCCTTTTTTCCCTCCTGTTTTCACATAGGGAACACCATACTTGGCGGACCCCCCCAAGAAGTAAATGACATTTTGTGTGACGGCTCATCCCAAGAAATTGCATCTTCAAAGAAAATCATTACATTTAGGAAGGTTTTACATTCTAAATGTAATCTGACATTGTGGGCACCCCTCCAAAATTCAGTTGATTCCTCTATAAGTTACAAGACGCAATCAGTTGATTCGACGTGGTAGTAGCAAAACGATGAAGAATGACACCATATTTTCAAACGAATTGGTCTGCCAAGATGCGCGACTTGCATCTTCATCCCACCCCATGACATGTTTTGTGTTGAGGCACCACACTGACGGAGTCAGCAGTTCACTCACTTGTGCATCCGTGCTGTGCATCCGTGACATCCGTGAAGATTGGATCAAACCCAACCAACCTGAGGCGATTCCTCACAGGAGCGAACTGTGTTGGAGTTGAAGGAAGAGGCTGAGCGCCTTGGCACAGAGATGAACTCCGAGATGACAGGGAGCCACAGGGCGCTGGTTTCTTGCGTGTCTAGGGGTTTCAGGAATCATCATTCGAGAGTAACATGAAGAAGTATTTGTTTACCCCTCCTCAAATCACATCTTGCAAGGAAACTTGGACCTCCAAAATAATGTTTGGCTTAGCTCAGAGAGAAAAGAATGGAACTTAGCAACCACCACTAGAGTTAGTACATGTTGGTACACACTTGGTACTTGTCTTCGGCTCAGAGGTGCATCATGCAATGCTGTGGCGCTGTAGACAGATGGGTAAGTCATCTCATCCAGATTCCCAGATTGATCAGTGGGCCCTTCATGATACCCCAAGCAATTTCTCCTTTTTTTATGGATTGATTTTTTTCGGGTGAGAATGGGAACCACTCAGTGGTCAATTCCTGATGGTCCATACTAGGCCTTTGCATGAAGGTTTTTCATGTTTTTCACCCAAGGGTGTTTTTTCCTTGTGACAGACCCAGAGGTGTGGATGTTGGGGATGGCTTTGGGATCCATCGGTTTGCAGCCTGTTCACACCTGCTGCATCTGCTATGTTTTCTACGTGACCAGTCCGACCCAAGGGAAAAGCTCGGTGTCAACATCAAGCGCATCATTGGGCAGAATCATGAACTGCTGCCCCTCGGGCTGCACAGAAATCCTGACGCTCGATAGTCTTGAAACTCTGCTTGGTATTGTGATTGTTGCTCCCCAAATTGTGGTCAATGTTGAGACTGTAGCATTTGCATGTTTGAGACATGGTTTGCAAGGCAAGCCAAGGAAGGGACAGAACGTTCCTTTCAAAAAAAGGGGAGGTACAGTATGATACATACATACATACATACATACATACATACAGACATACATACATCCATCCATCCATCCATGCATACATACATACATACATTACATACATTACATACATTACATACATTTACATACATTACATACATTACATACATTACATACATTACATACATACCATACATACCATACATTACATACATTACATACATACATACATTACATTACATACATTTCATACATTTCATACATTACATACATTACATACATTACATACATTACATACATTACATACATTACATACATTACATACATTACATACATTACATACATTACTTACATTACATACATTACATACATTACATACATTACATACATTACATACATTACATACATTACATCCATTACATACATTACATCCATTACATCCATTACATACCATTACATCCATTACATCCATTACATACATTACATACATTACATACATTACATACATTACATACATTACATACATTACATACATTACATACATTACATACATTAATACATTACATACATTACATACATTACATACATTACATACATTACATACATTACATACATTACATACATTACATACATTACATACATTACAGACATTACAGACATTACAGACATTACAGACATTACAGACATTATAGACATTACAGACATTACAGACATTACATACATTACATACATTACATACATTACATACATTACATACATTACATACATTACATACATTACATACATTACATACATTACATACATTACATACATTACATACATTACATACATTACATACATTACATACATTACATACATTACATTCATTACATACATTACATACATTACATACATTACATACATACATACATTACATACATTACATACATTACATACATACATACATACATACATACATACATACATACATACATACATACATACATACATACATACATCATACATACATACATACATACATACATACATACATACATACATACATACATACATACATACATACATACATACATACATACATACATACATACATACATACATACATACTACATACATACATACATACATACATACATACATACATACATACATACATACATACATACATAACATTACATTACATTACATTACATTACATTACATTACATTACATTACATTACATACATTACATACATTACATACATTACATACATTACATACATTACATACATTCCATACATTACATACATTACATACATTACATACATTACATACATTACATACATTACATACATTACATACATTACATACATTACATACATTACATACATTACATACAGTACATACATTACATACATTACATACATTACATACATTACATACATAACATTACATAACAATACATAACATTACATTACATTACATACATTACATACATTACATACATTACATACATTACATACATTACATACATTACATACATTACATACATTACATACATTACATACATTACATACATTACATACATTACATACATTACTTACATTACTTACATTACATACATTACATACATTACATTACATTACATTACATTAAATTACATTACATTACATTACATTACATTACATACATACATACATATAAATGGGCTAACGCCCTGGTGCCGCCGACCCCCTTTCAGGGGTGGAGGAAGGAAAGCACATGACCTTGACGGGGGTTCTAACCATCAATGGGAGTTGATGGCATTGGGTTGACCACATTGTAGCAATCCCCCAAGAGATATAATAGCGACATCTTAAAATATTGATTGGATTATGATTATGATACATTGTCAGACATTCTCCCTTGTTTGCAGGCTATAATGTTTTGCGACGTAAAAAATACTTTACTTCGTGTGATCCCCACCATGACTTATAGATTTTCTTACTGGCAAATCTTCTGGCATTCTATCTGATATATCTTCTGGCATTCTATCTGGCATTCTATCTGGCATATCTTCTGGCATATCTTCTGGCATTCTATCTGGCAAATCTTCTGGCATTCTATCTGGCATATCTTCTGGCATATCTTCTGGCATATCTTCTGGCATTCTATCTGGCAAATCTGATGCATTCTATCTGGCATATCTTCTGGCATTCTATCTGACATATCTTCTGGCATTCTATCTGGCATTCTATCTGGCATATCTTCTGGCATATATTCTGACATATCTTCTGGCATTCTATCTGGCATTCTATCTGACATATCTTCTGGCATATGTTCTGACATATCTTCTGGCATTCTATCTGGCATTCTATCTGGCATATCTTCCGTCATTCTATTTGGCCGTTGAGGTCCAGCGGTGCACACTGAGCTGGGCAGGTCCCAGGTTGAGGTCCAGCGGTGCACACTGAGCTGGGAAGGTCCCAGGTTGAGGTCCAGCGGTGCACACCGGGCTGGGCAGGTCCCAGGTTGAGGTCCAGCGGTGCACACTGAGCTGGGACGGTCCCAGGTTGAGGTTCAGCGGTCCACACTGAGCTGGGAAGTTGGCAAAGAGCTTGGCGAAGAGACTTGGCAAAGAGCTTGGCGAAGAGTTGGAAAGGCGGAAGTGCAGGTGGAAGTTGATGCAGACATGGTCGAGGAGAAACTGGAGGAGGAGGAGGCGAGGAGGAGGACGAGGAGGAAGAGGACAGCTAGTCGAGGAGGAGGAGGAGGACGAGGAGGAGGACGAGGAGGAGGAGGATGAGGCGGAGGAAGAGCGCTCTGATAAAATCTAACAACCGTCACCTGGCAGGTGGGCAAAAATATATAGTGGAATTAAATGTGATGTTTCCATCACAACTGTTCCTCGATCTGCGAGGTGGTCCGAGCCCGCCATGTGAATAGCAACACAACTGGAACCGTAAAGTCCATTTCATTTGGGGGGTAGACTAGACAAAAAACAATATATATATATATCAAAATATAGATGCTCAGGATTCAAAGATTGATTGGCCAGTTCTTTTGCCGGTTGCTTCTGACCCCAGAAGCATGGAGCATAGATTCAAAGAAAAGATACAACCTTGCCTTCTTGCGACTGGACTCCTTGTAGGACAAACAAATATACACGTGCCATGTAGCAGTTTCGAAGCCCAATAGAAACAGTTTGAAGGGCTTATGGGGAGGTACGATGGCAAAGCAAGCGGAGGGTTGTGCGGTGCTGAGGCTTTCGAAAGCTGCTGCGGGACTTTTGAAGGTTTTGAGGCCTGGCCAAAACGTGCCATGTAGCAGTTTCGAAGCCCAATAGAAACAGTTTGTAGGGCCTATGGGGAGGTACGATGGCAAAGCAAGCGGAGGGTTGTGCGGTGCTGAGGCTGCCCAAAAGAAGGCCTGGCCAAAACGTGCCATGTAGCAGTTTCGAAGCCCAATAGAAACAGTTTGAAGGGCCTATGGGGAGGTACGATGGCAAAGCAAGCGGAGGATTGTGCGGTGCTGAGGCTTTCGAAAGCTGCTGCGGGACTTTTGAAGGTTTTAAGGCTTGGCCAAAACGTGCCATGTAGCAGTTTCGAAGCCCAATAGAAACAGTTTGTATAGGGCCTATGGGGAGGTACGATGGCAAAGCAAGCGGAGGGTTGTGCGGTGCTGAGGCTTTCGAAAGCTGCTGCGGGACTTTTGAAGGTTTTAAGGCCTGGCCAAAACGTGCCATGTAGCAGTTTCGAAGCCCAATAGAAACAGTTTGTAGGGCCTATGGGGAGGTACGATGGCAAAGCAAGCGGAGGGTTGTGCGGTGCTGAGGCTTTCGAAAGCTGCTGCGGGACTTTTGAAGGTTTTAAGGCCTGGCCAAAACGTGCCATGTAGCAGTTTCGAAGCCCAATAGAAACAGTTTGTAGGGCCTATGGGGAGGTACGATGGCAAAGCAAGCGGAGGGTTGTGCGGTGCTGAGGCTTTCGAAAGCTGCTGCGGGACTTTTGAAGGTTTTAAGGCCTGGCCAAAACGTGCCATGTAGCAGTTTCGAAGCCCAATAGAAACAGTTTGTAGGGCCTATGGGGAGGTACGATGGCAAAGCAAGAGGGTTGTGCGGTGCTGAGGCTTTCGAAAGCTGCTGCGGGACTTTTGAAGGTTTTAAGGCCTGGCCAAAACGTGCCATGTAGTAGTTTCGAAGCCAATAGAAACAGTTTGTAGGGCCTATGGGGAGGACGATGGCAAAGCAAGCGGAGGGTTGTGCGGTGCTGAGGCTTCCCAAAAGAACTTTTGAAGGTTTTAAGGCCTGGCCAAAACGTGCCATGTAGCA